TTTTCTCAAATATCTGGGGCTGATTGTGTTAAGAATTTATCTTTTAGGATGATCTCCTCCTGTGTCCCTGGCTCCACATTAGTATACTTCTAGATGATAACATTGAAGGAATGCCACCAGAGGCCAAGATTCCTCCTGGTGGATGGTGGCCAACTAGGAGTAATTAAGGGCCTTTGTCCTATCTTAATCCCTCTAGTATGCAAGATATGAAGTGATTTCTTTCCTATTCATGCCTCTCATCCTCCATATCCCATTTGGGGTCCTGGAGGGGAATGGCTTGATCCCCAGTGGGAATTTCCCTTTTAGTCCACTGGGCCTTGGGGCACTCAGATAATAGTACTTTCCAGTGCCCACCATCTGACTGAAGACCCTATGTTTCTCTAGCAGTTAAGAGGCTGTTCTAAGAGTAACATAATATCCTTCCACGCCATGTCATAGAGTTGGGTAAGTAGCTGGAAGAGCTGGACATAGTGATCCAGGTTATTGGTGTTGCTTCTTAAATCTCTTTTTATTTCTTTTAGTTCACTAAGAAAAGGAGGGTATGAAATAACTCAGGCCCAAATTTACCTCCTTGTATCACTGTCATGGGAAACATTCCCAGACAAGGCCCATGGGACTCCTTTCTTCAAATGTATCTGTTTCCTGGATAAGGGGGACAAGGGAGGCAGGGGACTGGTTGATTCTCCAACTTTGGCAGGTCTGGATAAATTCCTGTCCCAATTGGTGGGGCAGCCATTGTGGGGGGGATGCTCAGCCTTCTCCCTAGGAGATGCCTCAGGGGACGTCTCCATTTTACTGGAAGCATCTGGGTAAGCATTGGAGCAGACCATGGCCAAAGTCTGGGAGTCAAATTTACATCTCTTGGCCCATTGAGGGTGATCCCTCAGGTAAAAGAAAAGCTGGACATAAGGAACTTCTACCCATTTACCCTCCTTTCTACAGAATTGATCTAATTGTAGAATAGTGTTGTAATTAAGGTTGCTGCCTTTAGGCCAGGTTTCATTGTCTGTCATTGAATATTTGGGCCAGGCTTCAATACAATAAAATACTAGGGTCTTTTTCTTCAAGCTCTGGATATATAGGTCCCCCCAATGTTTTAGCAGCCAGGTGAGGGGGGATCCTTCGGGGATCTTGGAGGAGCTCACGCCCATCTGCAGACAGAAAGTGAACCAATCACTAATCAGATATCTCCAATTAGGGGAATGACTTCCCCTTTGACTATCAACCCACCTGTCCAACCAAAGACAGGATTTCTCTGGGACCTGTCCAGATTTGGGTTGCGGTTACTGGTGAGATCCCACCCTGGTCCTCCCTTCTTTTTGTTTTTGTTATATCGCCAATGTCTTTGTTCTCTCCAGTTGCTAAAGACTATGATTTCAAATAGGACCTTAGAAATGAAGATTCCTAAGGCTGTTATCAGAGCTAGGAGACCTAGAGGAGGTGACAAAGTCAGCCTCTTAACTGGCTTCATATCCAGCAAATCAGATAGCTATGCACAATGGCAAGGGTAGATTTAGGGTCCAGCATTGTGTCTGTTCTGTCCCTTCCTCTATCTCTTGGAGGAGGTGGCTAATTAACACTAAAGGGACTGCTTCCTTTCCCATGATCATCAAGTTCTGTATGCATTTGGCAGACGCATGGGGTACAGTCAGGGTATGACAAGCCCAATGTCTAATAAAGAAAATAGAGACATGTCTGAGCATTCCAGGGATGAAATCAAATTGAAAAGTGGGGAACAGAATGAGCAGAGGACATGAAGAGGGCACAAACAACATATCAATTTGTCAATTGTGGGAGGCAGACTACTCCATCAAATGTCTGAAAAGAAGGAGTTCCACTTCTTTCTAGGACAGAGGGCCCTACCCCTCATTTTTGGGAGAGAATGGGAGAGTCACCTTCCTGGAGGTTCAGCCATGCTAGTCATGGCTGGGCATGCTCCCTGAGTTGGTGAATATTGGGAGTGCTGAATGATCAACGGCCACTTTCTGATTTCCCTCCTTAGTTTGGCTTGGTGTGTACTGACTTTGAGTCAGTGGTCCTAGGGGGTCTCTAAATATCCTAGATGAGTATACAAAGATGTTACCATCTTGGGGTATGGGCTTTTTTTCTCCACCAAATAAAGAACTAAGAGGCAGGAAAATTGTGAGAGAGTTTAGCAAAGATTTATTGGGAAACAAAGTGAAAGTAAAGTGAGGAAGTTCTCCAATGAGAAGGGGACCTGGAAATCAGTAGTGCACTGACATCCTCTGGGATTTCTCCTTTTAAGATCCTCCCTTTCCCACTCCCTTGGGTGGTGTGGAATATTCCCTCCATTTCAATTTGCCCAGGCTTCTGTCATCCTCTGCCCATGTGGTCTTTCCCTGTCCCTGATTGGATACCCCACCTGTGAGCAGTGCCCAAGTATGGAAGTGCAGGGGTCCCCGGTCCCAGGGCATGCTGGGATGAAGAAGCCTCTGTGTCATTGGTGCTATGTGGAATCTGCCATCTTTCCCTAACTGCCTATATCCTACTATCTATCCCTCAATTTCTCATTCAAACATTTCAGATAGTCCACTAATCACAGAAATCAGTATTCTAAGCTAGTCCATCTGTTTAGTCATATATTTTTGCCAACTCTCATCGATCCATTGGACAGGTATTTTCTGAGCACCTACTACATCAACAGTGGTAAAAGGATTTGGTTCTTATCCATTAGGACAATACGACTCAAGGTAAAGTCATTGAACAGGAAGCATTACAATCACCTGGAAACTTAGCAGAAATGCAAATTCATGGACCTCACCCTACATTCAGTGTATTTTAACCTCTGGGAGTGGGGCCCAGCATTCTGTGCTTCAACAGAATCTCCAAATGTTTCCTTTTTTTCAATCCTAGAGCCACTACTCTAGGAGCTTATGGCCTCACAAAGAGTATGTTGAACTATAGTAAAAAAGCAAGTACTATCTTTGGACATATAAGCAAATGAAAATGGGAACATAGGAAGTGTTAGGAAGTTCCTAACACTAAGAACTACCAGTTACTGAGCACCAATGTGAGTGTGCCAGGCACTTCACATTGAATTAGACATGGTAACAACAGAGTGAGATTCAAACCCAAGGTGTTTACAGCTCCATAGTTCATACTCATCTACAAAACCTCTCTATGGTTGAGCAGGCAGGAAGTTTCACAAAGAAGGCTGTGTTTGAGTCAAGTCTGAGTTTGCTAGCTCAACCAGCTGGAGCTAAAAAGAGTATTATTAGTCCTGGAAGATGATGCAATATATGGGAAGGAATGGAAGCAAGAGACACCATAGTATATTAGAAATTTCAGAGCTGGGGAACAGGGGGTAGGGATGAGATTAGACAGTGAGGTAGAAGTCTTATGGTAAAAGGATGGTCTATTTTGTAATTCAGTTTGTGTTTATTCTGAAGGAGAAAAGAGAACCACTAAAGGATTTTTCAAGACTGGAAAGATTAGTTTGGTGTCAAAAGATTATCAGCAGAGTAACATGGTAGGAAAGAAAAGTGAAAACAGTGATAACTACTTTCAAGACAGGTAGGGAAACAGTAGTCCACAGGCCTAACCAAAAAGATCTGCCATCTTACAAGAGCTGTTAAGGCAGAACTGACAGAACTTCACTATTGACATTTATTCATTTAATAATTATTTATTAAGTTTCCACTATGGACTTGAGTACTATTCTAGAAACGAGAGATTTAACAATGAATGAAATGTCCAAAAATCCCTTAAAAAGTTCCCATTCTTCTGCGTGTTGTGGTTGGGGCTTAAATATAATGTTAGTAGTGATATGAAGTGTGAAGAACAATAAACACAGTGAGGAGATAGTGAGTGATCAGGTGGCTACACCCTAGGGAGCATCAAGAAAGGACCTACTGCAGGTGATACTAGCACAGGGTCCTAAGTGAAGTGAGATGTCCATCCATTCAAACTGAGAAACTGTAAAAGCAAAAAAACTTTATTTGGTGTCTGAGAATTAGAATTTGGGAAAACACAGATTTGGACAGTTCTGAAGTGCAGATAGTATAGAGTGTTTAAAGGGAAGGAGAGGCTAAGGACAAAGAAACATATTAAGAAAGATGACTGGTGCAGAGAAGCTATCCTAAACACTAAGCTGTCCAGCAGGCTGCACAACTGATAACTGGGACTATCTCTAGGAGTAAAGTGCATCTGTCATTTGTGAGTTTCAGCTGCAACTTCAAAAGATGTTAATGGCTTTGTAGACTTTGGCTCCAGGTCAAAGGCTCACATTCTTGTGGCCAATCCAAGTCCACATGCCTAGGCAGCAACATAATACAGGCATAGGCTCTGCTCCCTTAATGGCCTCCTAACTCCATTCTGAAAGGCTCTTGGCATGGTGGGACATGCCTGTAATCCCATCACTTGGGAGGCTGAGGCAGGAGAATAATGAGTTTGAGGCCAGCCTGAGATACACAGCAAGACCCTGTCTCAAAAAAAAAACTAAGTTGCTTTTTATTATGATTTTCACAGAGATAAGCCAAGGGACTTCCGAAGCAGAAAGACATGATGGGAATGGAAACAGGAGCTGGTGGGAGGGAAGGAGAGGCCTAATATACCTTCAAATGGATGACCGGACAATATACTGAGTGCCACCAAAGAGAACAGGTCAAGAAGCCATTCCACCAAGGAGCCCAGAACCCAGTAGAGTGGTCAGGGGCAGTTTTCTTTAGGAAACCTTATGACATTTGCTAACATCCCAATTCAGAGACAATGACTGAATGATTTCCTTGTCAAATTAAAAGGGTTAAACTTTTCTAAAGACATTCACTTTGGTAAACAGTAAGCCAAACATATTTCAATGTATCAGAAAATGCTACTTAGGTGGTAAAGGGCTTTCTTGAAAGCTTTACAAATGTAAAATCACAGTACACTACCATAGGAAAAAGGCTTTAACAAAAATTTATTATATTAATTTACTTAAAATATATTATAGTCATATAAGCATTTTAACATCAACAGTTTATGAAATAAATTGGAAGGCAGAAAAAATTGCCACAAGTTAATAGATATGCACAAAAAATTCCTAAATGAAATGCTCTGATAACCATTTTCAGAATGCTATCATGATTGTATAATCAGTCCTTCATTGTTACAATAGTTGGATCACCTCATTACCATTCTTCCATATTTCCATGCACACAATTAATTGTATGTGTCATTCTGCAGTGAAAATGCAACACTCAAATTCATTTGAGCTGTGAGCCTAGAAGTTAGAGATTAGCTTTTGGCTTATTACTTTCAATGATTCTATCTGAGTGGAGCTGATCAATCTCTTTCTGGTTGAACCCTAATTCTTTAAGGATCTCTTCAGTGTGTTCTCCTATAAAAGGATTCCTTTTGGTAGACGGGACAGCTGGGGTGCTGAACAGCAAAGGTGCAGGGCGGGGACTCACATGCTGCTCCTCGTCAGTGACAAATGAGCCCCGTTCTCTGTTATGGTCGTGATGGAGAGCCTCTTCAAAGGTCAGGACCGGGGTTACACATGCATCTGTGCCATCAAAGATCTGGCACCACTCTGCTTTGGACTTCTTTGAAAACACATCTGCAAATTTCTTCTTCATTTCTGGCCAATTGGTTGTGCTCATCTGGCTAGGAAGTTCATCAGACTTTAGTCCAAGTCCTGAGGGAAAAATACAATTTCTTAAATTACTGTATACTGGCTAGAGTGATTTTACTTAATGAAAATGAATTTTGAGCCTGCCATACTATCCCAAATGAGATGTTCTATAGGGTTTCTCAAATGAGTGCACAGAAGAAAGTCAAAGTTGGTTTGAAGCTGGAGCCAATGGCTGGAGAGGAAAGAGGTGGTTGCAGCCACAGGACTCAAAACAGGTCTGTCACTGCCAAGAGTTATTTACTGACATTTTAGCAAAAGTAATCTATTTTCAATGGTCTAGTTTCTAGAAATTGATTTCTCTCCCTCTGAGTAGGTTTGCAAAAAGAATTTTTCTCAGGATGGTATTATCTGTCTTATTGAATTAAAATCACCTCATATTTTATATAATGTAACCAAGCCCTACAAAAATAAAATTTGAACAATTTTACACATGACTACCTCAGTTGTTAAGAAAGAAGCCTCAAGATAAATGATCAAATTCAGGATTGCAATCCCGAAGTAATATTCATTGCTCTTTATTTGGTAAAATTAAAGCTTGAAAGGGCTTTGTGCTAGGAACAAATGATCTGTAAGGTAGCCAAGGACTAGACTAACATTTTCAGGCTTTATAGGATATATGCACACCTGAAGAACTAAGATGAACCCCCCTTGGACTATCAATATATGATTAATTTTTAAAAATGAAGGACAGGAGAGAAAAATAAATCTTTTCTGGGGGTGGGTGTCAGTGGGAGGGGGTGAATACAAGGAGAGGGTAAATGACAGTGTATATGGTGGCTGCATTTTGTATCCATATATGAAAATAGAAGAATGAAACCTGTTGAAATCATTCTAAGAAGGGGGAAAAGGGGAAGAGGAGTAATGATGGAGGGGGTAAATCTAACTAAGATATATTGTAAGCACATATGTAAATATCACAAGTATCCCCATGTACAACTATTATATACTAATAAATCATTTTAAAAATTTAAATAATAAAACATTTTCAAGCTTTAGGCTGGTGTGAAAGCTTATCCACACAACTATTGCTTTTCATCGTCAGTACAGTTTTCAATAAACTACCTGGGATATTGAACAGTTTATTATAAAATAGGCTTTGTGTTGAGATGACTTTTCCCACCTATGTTCTAATATAAGGGCCCTGAGCATATTTTTGGTAGACTAGGCTAAGCTACGTTGTTCAGTAGATTAGGTGTACTAACTGCATTTTTTCCTTATGATATCTGCAACTTCACGATGGGTTTATCCAGATGTAACCCAATCACAAGTTGATTATATACCCAAAATATATATACTGCATCTATGTACCCAAAGGGCGACTTTGGTATAGTTTGCTTTAGTGTGAACATCATTTTTCTTCTCTCATATAAGAGGGTTTTTCAATGTGGATGGTTAAGAATAGAATGATAATAGAAGGCCCTTTTCCTTACACATAATACTTTCTGTAATTTAATTAACAAATTAATCTAATTTTTACCATCCTTTCCTTCCTTACCACGTTGAAGATCAATGGCTAATTGTAAGCTGCTCTGAAGATGCCAAAATTCCTACAGAGGTAAGAAAGCATGAAAATATGGCCTCTTCCTAGGGCCATAAGGATAGGGAGACATATGGAGGACTCACATAGTTCTGAATTTTTGTGAACAGCCACCTGTGGGTATAAATGAATTTTCCTCTGTAGCTACTTTCCCCATTCAACAACTGTGGAGCTATATAATTTATAAAGAAATGCCTTGGTCTTTCCCTTTGCTTCCTCTTTCCTGATTGATCCAAACTGTCTGATTTGAAAGGCACATAAAAATGAGTAGTCAGTTAAAACTAGTGATGTAGATAACAGCTACAGTTAGAAATATCTCCACATGTAATCAGAACCATAACACTAAACATGACAGCCAATGTGTTCTCTCTCACACACATACATTATACTTGAGATACATGGGTCATAGTCTGTATACTAGAAAAACAATAGAAACAAAAAGACCCTAAGTAGGGGGAGGGATAAAGGGGGGGAGAAATGACCCAAACATTGTATGCACATATGAATAAAAGAAACAAAAAATAAAATAAATAAATAAATAAAAAGACCCTAAGTTCCCCCATTTACTGACACCCCAGGTCTTCCATTTTCATCCATTCTGAGACCACACTTTTCTATCCTGCCCATGACTCTCATCAAAGTTACAGGATTTGGGATGCATTCACATTCCAAAATGGAACTCTGCATCCAGTCCCCATAGGAAAATAATTACAGATCACAGCTAGTTTTCATAGTACAATCAGTATTAAATTTCTGGATTTTAAGTCAAACAGAATTTTAGGGACTATCGTAGCAACTGAGACACTATTTAAAACTTGGAAATAATTCTGAATTACACAGAATTACAAAGTACATGTCATAAACTTTACTGCTCTATAATACAATATTAAGTAGTCAAAAATTCATATTGTATGAGCTGGGAGTGTGGCAGTGGTAGAACACTTGCCTCGCAAGTGTGAGGCCCTGAGTTCAAACCCCAGTACCTCCAAAAAATTCAAGAAATCATGCTGTAAGTATAGAAGGACGGTGATGGCCACTGCAAAGATTGTATGTTACAATGAAATACTGTAAAAACTGTAAACAAACTTAAAGAGGGAAATGGTTAAACAAATTTTAATATAAGCAGACCATATTCCATTAAAATCTTTTTATTGACACAAAACTACATTTCTGCTATACTGTTTAAATGTACACAATTATAAGAAAAATAATTGCATTTCATGTATACAGAAAAAATTATTTGTTTTTTATTCTCTCTCTCTCTCACCCTCTCTCTCTCTCTGCACTACTGGGGTTTGAACTCAGAGCCTTGCATTTGCTAGGCAAGCACTATACCACTTGAATCATGCCAAAGCCCATTTTTGGCTTTAGTAACTTTTCAGATAGCATCTTGAGCTTTTGCCCAAGGCTGACGCAGACCACGATCCTTCTATCTCTGCTTCTCACGTAGCCGAGAGAATTCAAGTGCACTGTCACAACCCAGCGTACTTTTTGCCAAGGCTGACCATGAACCACAATCCTCTTATCTCTGCCTCCCAAGTAGCTGGGATTTACATGTGTGATCCACCATAATGACTCAGAACAGAAACTTAAAAGTCACATTCCAAACTCTCTCAACGTGGAAGGACAACTTCACCTCTTACTTTAAAAATCTGTATTACTTATCTTTTTTCTAACAAAGTTGTGTTACTGTGAATTTGCATTTTTTAAATTATAATAAAATATATAACAACATAAAATTTGTCATTTCAGCCACTTTTAATTACAGTTGAATGGCATTAAATACATTCATATTAAGGCACAACCATCACCACCATCCATCTCCAGAACTTTTTCTTCTTCCCAGCAGAAACTCTATACTCATTAAATAACTCTATTCTGCCCTCTCCTGCCCCTGGCAACCACCATTCTACTTCCCATCTCTCTGAATTTGACTTCTCCAGATATCTCATGTAAGTGGAATCATCTTAGGGGAGAGGCTCATTTCACTTAGTATAATGTCTTCATTCATATTTGCAATCTGTGTCAGACTTTCCTTCTTTATTGCAGCTGAATAATATTCCATCTCATGGGAAGAACACATTTTGCTTATCCATTTTTCTGTCAATGAAAACTGAAGTTAATTCTCCATCTGGCTATTGTTAAAATGCTGCTATGTACATAGGAAGCTAGTCCCTGCTTTCAATCATTTTGGGTCTATGCCTGCAAGTAGAATTCTTGGATCACATGGTAATTCTATGAATTCTGCACTAAGTTTTTGAGGTACTGTCACACCATTTTTCACAGTATCTGTGTACCTTGCATCCCACCAGTAATAAGAATGATTCCAGTTCTTCTTCACCCTTGCTAACATTAGTTATTTTCTGGGGTTTTTTGCTTTTGTTTTTTGGTGTGTGTGTGTTGACAAAGATGCATTTTTTATTAGCACATAATATCTGTTCAGGAGGGTATACTGTGGTACTTATATATGTGCTTATAATATATCTTAGTTAATTTATTCCTACCATCATTCTCCCCCCACCCACATCTTAGAATAATTTCAATAGGTTTCATTCTTCTATCTTCATGTATGAATACAAAATATATCCACCATATTCACCGTTTCCTTATGCCCTCCCCTCCCACTGGTATTCTGGGATTTTTAAATAACATTTTGAAATTTTAAAAAAACCTTTACAAAATTCTCTATTTCAGAATTGTACTACAAGAGCCTTACTCTCAAAATGTCACAAAATTCTCATTGTTTTCAGATTCCTTTGCCCCAGAAAGTAGCAGGGACAGAGGACGAGAAATTAGACACTGAAAGAGAAGAAAGTTGTATGCGATTAGTAAAAACACCATTTTTAGAAGTAAATACTGTGAAAGAAAGAAAATGCTAAGATGTTTTGGCATGGACTGTGAGGACTGTGTAGACGCTGATTTAACATGTCGTACTCTTTAACGCAAAGCCTCCAGAAAGCTGGGGAAAGCTGAAAGGAGAGCACAGGTCAAGTGAAGGTCACAGCAAAGTCCAGGAATGCAAAGAGATGGGGCTGAAAAAGAAGTCAAGGGGTTTACAGAGCTTAGACTCAGAGGAGAAAACCCACGAGATGGTGGCAGAAGTTGAGGGGGTTACAGAAATCAAACAGAAAAAAGTCCTGCTTCATTTTCAGTATTTGCAGAATGGTTTGTTCATTCATTGAGGTAGATTGTGAACATTCAAAATGAGCACTCCAAACATATAAGTTTTAAAAGAACAGGAGGATATAGGAAAGAGAGGAGTTAACTTCTGGAATGACAGAGTAAGGACCCTCAAAAATCTACTCCCTGTGAAAACAATGAGAACACTAGGAAAGACTGTGAGAATTGACTTTTTTATAACTCTGCAAATTAGCTAGAAACATACAATAATTCAAAGATATCCAAAACATATGAATTTTTGAAAGGCCAGTGAGCTTTGTGGTGTTACAACTCCTGCTAATGGCATCACTCTCTCCCTGGCTCTGTGGTGGCCTTAAGGACCTCTGAAAGCTGACGCAGGATGACATCCACAGGAAGAAGCAAATGGGTTTGAAGTTCCCTAAATACCCCATCTCCAGGGAACAGTGGTTGTCTGGCCTATCTGACAGCTCCCTGAAGAACTCCATTCTCAAGATTTGTCTTTATTTGCTCTGCCAGCTCTATCCCTAGGACATTTTTTTAATCAAGTGGCAATTGTTTAGCATCACAACTATCTGCAGTGGCAATACTGTTGGAACTAACACAAAGCTGACCAAAATTTTGAAGGAAAAACTATAGAATGGGATGTCCACAGAGGGCTTTAAAAAGCTCCAACATATTCCTGAGGCTGAAGACTGTATATACATAAGCACCTGCTCAGGAGAGCATGCATGCACAAAAGACATATAGTCTCTCACCTCTGGCTGACCTTGAGGCTCTGTACAAGTGAGAAGCACAGAATGTGTCAGTAAAGGTTGGAAGATTTGTTGATTTGAGGACATCTCGGTCCAATCATTAGCTGACTATTACACTAAGTGGACAGAATTCAGTGGTTACACATGCCAAGGAAAACAGATTTACTCTAGGAAATCATTAAATAAATGAACAGCAACAATAACAATAGAGGACCAGCTAGTCAGGAAAGGAAGGGATGACCTGATGTCCAGCGTTTCCAAGTTAAACTATGTAAAATCTGTTTTTTCAACAAAAAACTCTGAGATATGAGAAGAGGCAGGAAAGTATGGCTCATACACAGAGAAAAAAAGCAATCAGTAGGAATCATCCTTGAGGAAGCTTATGTAGGAAGGCTACTATGCTTATCATTACCATCCTTTTCAACTCAGGAATTTCTATTTGGGTCATTTTAAATATAACTTCTTTCTTTATCAATATTCTCTATTTGATGAGACAGTGTTCCCATATTTTCCTTTAATTCTTTAGTCATGACTGCCTTCACTGCTTTGAAATACTTAAAATAGCTGATTTGAAGTCTTTGTCTAGTAAGTCAAACATGTACTCATAGCTTACTTTTGTTATTAGATCTCAAGAATAGGGCTCAAACGGTAGAGCACCTGCATAGCAAACATGAGGCCCTGAGTTCAAACCCCACTGCTGGCAAACAAACAAACAAACAAACAAAAAACCTCAAGTAGCTGCAGCAATTGTCTAGAACTCAGATCATGAATTTTGCTCAAGGAAAATATTGTATCATTATCATTTAGAAGAACTTGTGAGTGATAAAAAGAAAAAGCTGACTGAAATTCAGTTAACTATATAATTATGTTTCTGTTTTTTATAGACAAGGTTGTTTTACAATGCAAACTCTACTATGTTGTTTCCTTGCTACTTTCCAGGGCTCTAGACCGAAGGCATGTTGCTCCCAGCACTTGGTCCTTCATCTGGCATTGTTCAGTCTAACATTTTGACATAAGTGTCTATATTTTTATAGAAGGTTTTATTTATTTGAGTCTTTTTTCTGTTTTTTCTTCCTTCATGTCGCTAAGGGTTTATCTGTTTTATCTTTATATATATATGTGTGTATATATATATATTTTTTTTAATTGTTGTGCTGGGGATACATTGTGGCATTTACTAAAGTTCTTACAGTGTATCAAATATCTCATACTTGAATTCAGCCCCACTACCATTCTCCTTTATCATCCTTCCCCCCTATATTTAGTTTTAATGTCCGGTCATAAAGGCATCCTTTATGACCTTGACAAACCATTCTGCTCTTCTATAGTTTTCCCAACTATATGTGAGTTAATGAAGTGAATACATTTCTTATCATAAAATGCTTTTCGATGTTTACATAAATAATCATGGCAGTTTATGCAAATAATTTGAGTACTACATCACATTTTAAAAAGGTACCAAACGATGAGACTTTAAACTTGTAGTAGAAAGACAAATGTACTATATCAGCTTAACATATCACTTAGGAGTATATTCTAAAACTTCTCAGATATTAAATTGTCAGCAGAGTGAACTTAAGTTCAAACACTTCACAGTAACAAAACAATTCCAGTTCAAATATTTTGTTAGGGAAGAAAAGATCCCAAATTGTCCTGCTAACTTGTGGCAGCATAGCGTGAAGACAAGAATCTTCAAGAAAGGTAAATTACAGAGGCATCAAGTGACAGTAACATCACCCAATAGAATCCTCTGGCCAAAGTCTCTATGCTTAAGTGACACCTGACACTGTATACTATAACAGACATAGATCAAAAAACAAGAGCTGATAGAACCAGCAGATCATTTCGAAGGAAGATCAAGAAGGATCTGGGCACACCAAGGCAAAATAAATATCTATCACTCCTGCTGTGAAATACAGTAAAAGCACTGAACATCCCACAAAAGGTACTGCTATGTTTTTTAAAACCCTGAGTTACTTAACCAACTAATAAAATTACCTGTCAACTTAAAAGACAGGGAAAATACCCACAATACACTGATGGTTAGGCTAATTAGAAAGTCAGATATATCATAAAAGACAGCATAAAATTCAAAAGGCCCCAAATAGAGGCTAAACAACACCCTCAGCAAAAGGGAGGGGAGAATGGATGGTTACATACCTTTGACCAGCAGCTGATAGAATGGGGGTTCTACTGCTCCGACAGCCATGTACTGCCCATCTGAAGTCCTGTAGGTTGTGTAGAAAGGTGCTCCACCATCTAACAGGTTCTGACCTCGAGGCTGATCCCACAGTCCCAGTTTTTGAGTTTTCCATAGAAAAGAACTTAGATATGCTGTTCCTTCCACCTTTGAAGAACACAATATGAATCCAGATGATTCAAGTATAAAAGGATTTTCGTCTATTGGGGGTTTCTAATATTTGTGTAACAATGCTTAAAGTATATGAAAATCACACTGAATTCTACAAATTCTTTGGCATTTCTGCAAATGAAGTTAGAGAGGTTTTAGGGTAGAATGACAATTGGCTGAACTGTTCAGTTCAGGAAATATTGTAAGGCTTAAAAGGAACTACTTATTTTTGTTCTTTTCAAATGAAATGTTGATGATTTTTGAAACTAGGTGAAGGTATATGAAAGTTCATTATATTATTCTCTCTACTTGTATATATGTTAAAAACCATAGGATAAAAAGTTGAAAAAAAAAAAGGTTGGGGACATGGCTCAAATGGTAGAGGACTTGCCTAGTAGGCACAAAGCCCTGAATCCAAAGCCCAGGACCACCAAAAACAAAAGATAAAATAAAGCAAAAGAATTTTTAAAGTCTACCTATTTCAATTCCTATAAACACATGTTCACAAACATATGAAGCATATCACATATTAGAGGTAAATCATATTACAGTTAATTTAGCTTACTCTAAGCAGTTTACAAAATAAGCATAACAATAGAGGTGGCAGGTGTACGGATTTTCTGAGTTCAGACAAATGAGTTTGGGAATATGCCATCTTCCCACTTAGTCCTGAAGTAACAAGAGTGGATACGAGTGCTCAGGTATAATTATCACAGTGCTCAACCCCAAAGGACAGAAAGACTGGGCTAACACAGGAAATCTCCCGTCCTTACAGGGTGTATGATTTTCGTGATTCTCGTGCCCCAGGGAGAAGGCATTATAGTATTCTTGTCCTTGAGGTTATAGTAGAGGGTCCCATCCAAGAGTGAGCATGGAATTTCTCAGTTACTGACTATGAGACAAATGTAAAATATTCCTTTGAATACATCACAATTTTCCCCTTTAGCTTGAAATCTCACATGCACCTGAATTTATGGCTAGAACACGTCATCACCAAATACAGTCACTGTATCATTTAATGATAGGGACAGAGAGCCTGACTGTACTTATATTCATGTAAGTGGCCTATACAGGTGATGCTTTTTTTTTTTTTTTGGAGACTGGGTTACATATATCTTAGCATTCCCATATTTATACACACACAATGACACATATACACATATGTGCCTTGTTTTAAATATACTTTATGTTCAAGTTTTATGTTAAATATGTAATTAGATGTGTTGTATACCAAATTCTGACACATCAGAGACTCCTCGCACTCATTAATAAAGCTGAAAATAAAGGTCCCTCTAATTTTGCATAAATTTGACCTTGCAATTGAAATACTGTTAAAAGAAACTACTGTTCCACATGGGCCTTAATTAGGGCTTGCTTAAAACTCAGCAAGTATGTAAGTGCCATTAACTAGTGCCTGCTTTCTGCTCAAGCCTGGACCCTTTTGCAGTCAAATAATCCATGGGGCAATAACAAGTGAACTCAAAGCAAGTTGGCTTTGTTTTCATAGAGCACTACATACAGTTTTCACAGAGAGTTCTGAATACTGACTGTCTTTCATATTCAAGCCAAAGAATGTTAAGTGCTTAGATTCTGTACTGAGTTATCTTTGAAACAAAGTGTTTCCGCTCTGCTTCATCATAAATGAAATGACAGGAGGCCACAGGACAAGAGACACAGCAGTAATAATCCTCTTATCATCTCAAGGCCTTGGTGGCTACCATGCCTCATAGCTTCTCTTGCCTCTCACCTCCATGCCATGGATACTGTCCAAATGAGAGCCCTTGACCCAGCCTCAGTTTCCCATGACCTTTTGTACCATCCTCATCATGTAGGCCAATGACCTGCATATACCTCCTGGCATCCCCAGGTCAGCTGGGCTCCCAAGAGTGGGGGTAAACACAGCAAAACTGACCCTACATTCCAGTTTTCTGAACTCCACAGTTTCTATGGAAACAGCACTATGTAAAGACAGATTCCACCTCAACCTACTCTGGTGCCAAGGATTTTGCAACTAAAAACCTGAAAACTACTGGACTAAAAGTAGACATCTGCCTAGCCCTAATCTAATTCTCTAAGAGCTCAACTGATGAGAAAGTGGAAAATGTGATTTACTGACCCTTTGACCTTGAGTAATTAGCCAAGGCTGAGGATCCCCTAATGTAAACATAAGCCCTTAAGAAAGTATACACTTTCACATACATTAAAACCTTACTGTCTTCTAGTCATTAGGTACTTCTGATTAGATATATTCCGAGGAAAACAGCAATCACCTTCCATTTACATTTGACTACAGAAAATCGCATGTATTTAGTAAATTATTCAATTACTACTTGAGTATTCAGTCTTAAATTCTCCTTAAAACTCTCAAGGCCCCGTGTTTGTTCTTAGTTGATTCCTTGTGGATGGCACAACTGTGCCAATGAGGACAGTAAAGGGAAGCAATTGAAAGCCCTGTGGCTTTTAGGGTCAATCTCCATGAGTCAATCCTTCTGACCCTTCCCAGCCACCTATTTTAGAAGAAGGCAGTAAGCCTCTGGAGCCTTAAAATTTTCAACACCAAATTGATGAGTCAATCTCCCTCAGAAAGTTGTGTGGCTCAAAGCAGGGGAGCCACGGAGCCCTGCACTTGGTGTGGTGTGAAGCCGTTGCTGCTGCTGCTATTTCATGGTACAGCTATGCCATGAGTAGGTCAGGAGCTGGGAATAAAAGATAAGTTCCACATTGGGCCTCCCGAAATACACCTCAGAGAGGGACATAAGGACAATGTATCTGTGCCCATGACAGCATCACAAGACACAGACACAGGACAGTCCTAGGCGAGGTTCACCTGTGAGATATAGAAGCAGCCAGCCAAGGCTTAAGAGCTGAGGAGATGCCAGTAGGAGATGGGTTTTGCAAAGGTCACCAGTGACCCAATCCAATTTGCACTGTTCAGTCTTTGAACTCTTGAGGTGTTCACCCACTTATGACCCTCTGGTTATTACTCTTCTTTCAGCACTCTCTTTCCTTAGTTTCTATGACAAGACTCTCTTCTGGTTCTCCACTTGGCCCTTCTCAGCCCTTGCTTTTCTCCATCTGCCTACTCACTTCTTCCTTACACACTGGTGTTCTGTTCCCTTACTAGGGGACCATCTAGCTCCCAAATTATTCCTAAATGACTCTGAAATCTGTTTCTAGTCCCTAACCTCAAGTATTCTACCTAGATATCAGAAAGCCACTTTAGACTTGAAATGAGCAAAACTGAATACTTTTTGTTCTAGAAAAAAAAAAAGTCACAACAAACTCATATAGAGTGCCTGCTATATATAGGGGGTAAATTTGATCAGAGCACTTTATATGCATACATGGAAAAATCACGATGAAACTCCTCTGTATAATTAATATATACTAATTAAAATCTATAATTAGGAAAAACATACATTAAAAATGCTACTTGGTGGGATAAAATTTTTAAAAAGAAATACAACATAGGATCAGATGAGTCATAACAAGTTTAGAGAACTGACTCCACAGATTATTTCAATATGATATTCTGACATGTAGGGAGAATGTACAACTATTTTAAAGAAAAGGATATATTTGGTGCTTTGGATTTAAACACTAAACATTGTTATCTCCTGTCTTGTTCGGAAAAAGATTTGAGGCAGCCATACAGCATGCTTAGGAACAGGTAGCAAGTCTACCATTCCTCCCATTGGATACTCACCATGCTTACATCGATGACCTGGCCTTTGCCAGAGCGCGTGCGTTCAAAGAGAGCCATTACAATCCCCAGTGCACACATGAGGCCACCACCAGCAAAATCCGCCAGGAGATTCAGCGGGCATATGGATTCTCACCACTTCTGCCAATTTTTGACAGAACACCTACACCAATAAAAGCAAATTGAATGTCGCTTTTAAACAAATTCAGTCACTGGCTGAGTGAAAACTAGTACAAAATGCTTTTCAAAATCTAAGCCCATTCAGTCCACTTATAAAGGAAGCTTTCCCTCCAGAGAGGCTCCGCATTTTGTTAGGCTATTTTCCTTCTCTAAAACTTTACCCCACTGACATTTTCAAAATTTTATTATTAAGTTTTCACCCACTGAGTTTTGGGAAAAAATAATAATTATTATTATTACCAATTTATTTTGTGCCTTATAAACAGTATAAAACACTCACTCTTATTAAAAAGAGGTATAAGAAAATAATTGTACAAAAAAAGGTACTAAATTTTAAGTAGATGCAAAAAACCAAAGCTATACTTACCTTTTTCCCTCAACCTTTAAATGTGTATTCACAGGAAATCAAATTTCTTTTAGTGAAAACACAGTTCTAGAAATCTAGAAACTAAGACATGTTCTTATAGGCAAAAATTTTAATAAAGTGATAGTGGGGCCTGAAAACCAGGGGCTTACTGAATTCTGAAATGATGACTCAGAAAATGATTCTTAATGAAGCAGTGTCCCAATCCAACTACACAGCAACCATTCCTACTAACATGAAGTCTTGCATCCTAGTGGAGGCTTGTCTATGAACTGACTTTACAAATGCAGCGAATAAATTTTACTAGTGAGAATATATTCCTCAAATGTGTTAAGATGGAGGAAAAAATTTGAGAATGACTATTTTAAGAATCCAAATCAACCCATTTTTAAACAACCATGCTCTCCTTATTGACTCTAATAAATACTTGAATCTTCATCTTTCAAAATTCTTGTTAGTCAATGTAAGTGTAGATCTTGCCTGGAGACACATCTAAAGTGTAGAAACAATTATTTCTCAACATACCTGACAAAGCCAAGTAGTTGATGTCATGGCCAGCAACCTTAGAGAATCTTCCTGACTGGCCAAATCCACTCAGCCTGGCATAGATAAGCTTTGGATTTTCCTGCAGCAGAATCTGTGGCCCAAGCTGGAGTTTCTCCATGACACCTTAAAAGAAAAGCAATAATTCTTTTTATAAATTGAACATGAATTAAAGATGGGGCTAAGACTACCATAAAACAACTCTTGCAAGTAATACTAACAACATTTGTGTGGGCTTTGTGAAACTGTTGCAATCAAAATGGAGTCACTTTTGTTAAAACCCATCCAAAAATAAATAAAGCTTGGAGGTTATGAAGAAGTGCGCATGTATGCCTGAAAACCAAAACTATTAACATAAGACTCTGCCAGAACTCCAACCTCATACAAAGGCCACTGTAACCTTCCACGAATAAAACTCTTATAAGGACATCTGCCCTGTTCAGCAACTATTCAACCTCAGACCACCATAATTCTTGTTATTAGTCCATGTAACCCAAAATAACTGTTTTGCTATATTTCTTGTGGTTCTCATTTTACCTTTCCTCAAGTTCTTTGAATAAGCTTATAGCTTACTTTGTTATGCATATTCTCATTACAATAATCTGCCACCCCCAAATAAATATTATTCTTTGGAGAATGTCTGATTGTCATTCAGGTTGACAGCTTACAGCATGTTTCCTATAGGTAAGGACCCACATAAACGAGGCTCCCATTTATGGAATGTGTGGCTTCTACTGAGGATGTTCTGGTTTTTGGCATTTTCCTTATTTGCCTCTCGGCCAAATACAAGCCTACTCAACCCCCAGAGTGGGGTCCCTTTTTCTCTGTGATCATACCACCTCCTTCCTCATTATGTCCTTATGTATGGACGTAACCATCTTCCCTATGAGCTCAGGAGCATCTCCAGTAGCATTCATAGCATGTTCTGTTTACACAGGCTCCTAGAATACCTCCACCAAAAAACCTCATAAACCTCCTGGAAAAAAATTCTTACAATACCACCCCCAGAGCTCTTAGACTATCAAGTATAACTATTGCCCCAAACCCAGCTAACTGGTACCTGAAATCTTCAGGGATTAAAAGTACTCAAAATTACATAATAAGCTCATTGTTAAGGGATGATGACAAACACAAAAAAAGTCTATCATCCACCTAGATGAACACCAGCCAAAACCCTCACCTGAGACTAAATGTGTAGTCACAGCTCTACCTTCCTGCTAATTACATGACCCTGAACAAAAACATGCTCCCCCATCCTCACGGGACATTATGATATTATTGTTAGGTCCCTGGCATTCTTGGGGCGGGCGGAAGGACCCGAGGCTACACCTTAAAACCAGACCCCCTGATTTATGACTGCTTGTTTCTCCCTGCCTGATTGTTTCTCGGCTTGCAAAACAACTCAGGAACCTCCAATTACTCAACTAGCAAGGCATGTCGACCTGTTCCATCTGGTGATTGCAGATAATCAGAGACCAGACTCTCTCTGGCTTGGCCCCTCCTATAAAGCCCACTACCCAATTCACCCAAGTCACTGCTCCCTGATCTGGGGGGGTGGGGGAGGGCACAACCCTGAGGTCTGGATTTCTAATAAAGCTTTCCTTTCCACACGTGGCATGGTCTTAATTCGGCAGTACCTTACATCTGGTGCCGAAACCCGGGAGAGGTTAGGAAAGACGCTCCAGCCTGGGGCTGCTTCCTTGGCCATTGTGTCCTGCCCTCTCCTGAACCCAGATTGCTGAATTGACCCCACATGCCTCCGGACTGTGGAGTTCGGACCTTACTGCCTTGCCAGCTTTCCCATCCATCATTAGCCTCTCTCTTCCACTACTTTTGATTTTCATGCAAAACTTCTAGATCTTGACGATTTCTGCCATTGCAACAGCACGTGATCTGAAATTCCATTCATCCAAGCTTTCCTTTCTCTCTGCTCTCAACCCTCCCTCAAATTCGTGTCTCTCTCTCCCACTGAACTGTTGTACTTGTGACCTCACGAGTTCTGTCTGCCCACCTCCCAACTCCTCCTGCCAGTCCTCTACATCAATCTCTTCTCCCATCTTATCCTCCCATGACTCAGACCCCTCCTTCTTCCACTCCTGCTGGCTCTCCCAAATAGCCGCCACCCTATTCTCCTTCTACGGTAGTCACTATTGACCCTGAGCCATCGGCTCCTCAGGGACCAACACTGCCAGTCTTGCCCTCAGCCCCTGCTTCACCCTCACCCTTCTCCTCCCCACCAGCATCCCATATCCACTCCCATACCTCCTCCCAAGCACACTCAGCCCACCTGTTCCACTCCGGGAGGTGGCAGGGGCTGATGACATTATCAGAGTCCACATGCCCTTTTCCATGACTGACCTCTCCCAAACTGAAAAGAGACTTGGCTCCTTCTCTAATGACTCAGCCTCTTATATTAAAGAATTTAAATACCTAACCCAATTATTCTCAACTCTCATTTTATTTCCAAATCATTCCCTGATATTCAAAGAAAAAACTTAAAACAGGCAGGGGGGTGGCCCTCAAACCCCCCAGGGATATCTTGTGAAAATGGAATTTAAGGTATTTAATAACTGAGATGAGGTTTGAGACCAGTGAAAGGCCTAGCTCTTGGCGGCTGCCTTAAGGCTAAAACTGAAAAGGACTGGCTCCTTCTCTAATGACTCAGCCTCTTATATTAAAGAATTTAAATACCTAACCCAATTATTCTCAACTCTCATTTATTTCCAAATCATCCCTGATATTCAAGAAAAAAAACTTAAAACAGGCAGGGGTGGCCCTCAAACCCCCAGGATTATTTGTGAAAATGGAAATTAAGTATTTAATACTGAAGATGAGGTTTGAGACCAGTGAAAGCCTAGCTCTTGGCGGCTGCCTAAGGCTACCCCCACTCGAGATGGCCAGATAACAACGCACACCTCCAAGCCTCTTCAAGTTGCAACAATGACACTGGGCCCAAAACACTGCCCTTCACCTCGCCTGCCGCACTGACCCTTGTCCACGATTGTGGCCCAGAATGACACTTGAAGGACAAACTGCCCCTCGTTGTCTCTGCAAGTAGCAGCCCCACCCACTCTCAAAGAGTAAAGCCTCACAACCCTTGGGCCTGTGGCAGAAGACTGATGTGCCCGAAAAACTTGGCCCCCTTCAAGATCAGCTCGGAGAGCCCAGGTAACCGTCCAAGAGCAGGTAGGCGCAATCACCTACTTGGTGCTACCTGTACTTTCTTCAGTTAAACTTTATCCCACAGATCTCCAGGGTGGACGGTCTCCTCCACCAGCCAAAAAAGAAAAGACAGGTTTATTATAATAAACTCATGTGTATAAATTAAAGTTGACTATTAATCTAAGAGCTGCTAATAAATTTAAGTCATGTCAAAACAAAATCAAACTCTCTTTATTAAAATAACCAATTTATCTTAATATTTCTGCTCTGAGTAAACATCTACAAAAAACTATTTAGGGACAACATTTATAAAAAAATTGTGTTTTCTATTAACCTTGTAAGCTTTTAAGTTACTACGAAATCAGAGTCATTTAGATTTGCTCATACAAAGTTCATCTTTAAAGACCCCTGTAACAGCATGTCTAGACTTATCTAAATATGGTACAAACATTTACAAAAACCTTACCAGTCAGCCTTATTTGCCTTTCAAAGTCCCACAAACGCTTCATAACACTAACCTGGTCAGTTTGCACACAAGATTTAAAGGCACCCCTCATTCTTTTTGTGGACAGCTCTAACAGAACTTATTAGATGACACTAACCAGGCCACCCTTCTTTAATTGCAGAGCCACAGAGCTCATCTGCAGGGCAACTAAGTCCTTTTAAAAACTTTCTGCCTCCAAGGATACAAAGTCTCTAAAGAAAGGTGCAATTATGTCTCTTACAGGTAACCTACATAGGTGTGGTCTTAAAGAACAGGCCCCTAAAGCCCTTCCTTCTTGAGCCCCTTTTAAATAAGTATGGTCACCCATTTCTCTTAGAAAACTTTGCCTCCAAACAGGACCTGCTCTCTGGTGACTACCTACTTATCAACCCTCCTCTGGAACTTCTCAGAGAACAAGCAGACCCAGATCCGTCCCACACCTCAGAGAGAGCAGGATAACCGTACAAGTTAGCAGGATCTTTGACCCTCGTCCGGACCTCATGGATTGGCCCTTCATTTCTGTTCATCTCACAAACCCCATGCTGCAGCCAACGGGATCCCCATGACAGCACCTTTCAAGGATAAAACATTGCCCACCAACTTCAGACTCTTCCACTACAAGAAAGGATGAGTACTCTTGTGTACCGCTGGGCCCCAAGCAGCTACGCCTCCCCTGCAAACTCTCTCTCTTCCACTCCTGCATAAGCTCTTATTCCTATCTGGCTCTCGATCTTCCTCCCTTCCCAACCCAGAAATCCTCCTCCTTTGACCCATGCATGTGCATTGTGTGGCCAGGAAGTATTGTTACTAAGACCTTACTGTTCCAAACTTACTAATCCTGTGCAGGCTCTGTTATCGGGTCATGCACTCACAATCACACCATCTATCAGGCGTGCTCCCATGATAATCAATTTACCTGCTTCAACCCCACTTATTGCCCTTTGGAGCAGTGGTTAAAACTCAGGAGTGGTCACCTCGCTGGGGAACATTGTTACTTGAACCCAGGTGTTCGATCCTGAAAAACCAGTGTCATTATTGTTTGATGCTTGTGCGGCCATAGATTAAACTATGTGGAGATACAGGCTGTGGCTGTGGAGGCCTGGGTTGGGAAAGGACTTATACATCAAATGAAAAATATATGTGCCAGGGAGACAACTCCTGGTGTAATAATGAGGGTTACCATTTTTGCCCTTATTGGAGTTGTGTTTCATGGGCCACATGGCACAGGGCTACACACTTAGCCCTCCTTCAAAAGGGCACTATTACCCCTAGCTGGAGTCAAGGCACCTGTAACCCTATAAATTTCACTGTATTTAAGCCATCTGATTGGACACAGGGACAGATAATTAGCATAAGGATAGGTGGCCAAGGCTTTGACCTTGGGACTCTGTTACACCTTAAGTTAACAACTGTTACCCATGAGAGTTCCCCATACCAGTTCTTCCACTCCTTTTGTGAGGAAATGCCAGATAAATTCCCCATTTCTGTTACAACTAAAAACTTGTTCCTCACACTGGCCAAATCTATAGCCCAGACACTAAATGTCACTTCGTGCTATGTGTGCGGGGGAACCAACATGGGAGACCACTGGCCCTGGGGAGGCAAGGGAGTTAGACCCACGAGTGCCTTTCAATGAAAGTGCCTTCCCATGACACAGGACTCTCCTTAAAACTTCCATTATTGGGAATTACTGTATCTCCTGCCATGGAAAACAATTCTCCACCCTAGTGGGGGAACTCACTTGTCTAGGACAGAAGTTTTACAATGACACAGTCCAAGAGACTCAGTGGTGGGGTACCCCAAACCATACGGAACCCCAGCCTCACCCACTGGCCAACTTTTCTAATCTCAAAACAGCATGGGACAATCTTACTGCAGATATAAACTGACAGGCTCCCAGGGGGCTATATTGGATCTGTGGAAGGCAAGCCTGTACAGTGTTGCCTAGAAACTGGTTTGGGTCTTGTGTGCTGGGCTCCATCAGACCATCTTTCTTCTTGTTCCCCCTCGAACAAGGTGAAAACCTGGGAGTCCCCATATATGAATAAAGATTAAATAGAAATAAATGGGGAACCTTACAAATAGACACTTGGAAGGATGATGAGTGGCCCCAAGTGAATCATCCAGTACTATGGTCCTGCCGCTTGGGCAGAGGATGGGTCTTGAGGGTACTGCACCCCTATATATATGCTCAACCGCATCATCAGGCTGCAGGCTGTTGTTGAAATTATTACTAATGAGACTGCAAGAGCCCTCAGTTTGCTGGCAAAACAAGGCACTAAGATGCACAATGCTATCCATCAAAACCGCTTGGCTTTGGACTATTTTCTAGCCTCTGAGGGAGGAGTTTGTGGAAAATTTAACCTGAGCAACTGCTGCCTACAGATTGATGATGAAGGAAAAGCCATAGAGGAGATCACTGAGGGAATGACAAAGCTTGCCCATGTCCCCGTCCAGACTTGGAAAAGCTGGGATCCTAATTGCTTGTTTGGAGGATGGTTTTCTGCCACAGGTGGATTTAAAACACTGGTGGGGCAGTGGGAGTGTGCATAATACATCCCTGCTTCCTTCCCTTGGTTATACGGTCTATTAGGTCCATTATAGAGGCCACTATAGAAAGAAAAACAGCTACACATGTAATGATGCTATGGAAATACAAACCCTTAAACCAGGAAAATGCTCTTTAACCCTAGATGCCTCCAAGATCATTCAGGGAACTCAGCAGACAGACTTCCCACAAGATACTACTACAACCTTCTCCCAAAAACTGGCCTTGTCTGCAAATGAAGCCTGGGACAAACCATCAACCTCCACTCCTGGGAACCTCACAAATTTCCAAATTCCAGCCAAACCCCCTTTAACAATGTCCCCACTCAGCACGAAGCAGCTAGATTGATTGGAGGTGGTAATACCAACAAAAGGCTGGAATGTTAGGTCCCTGGCATTCTTGGGGCAGGCGGAAGGACCCGAGGCTACACCTTAAAACCAGACCCCCTGATTTATGACTGCTTGTTTCTCCCTCCCTTATTGTTTCTTGGCTTGCAAAACAAGTCAGGAACTTCCAGTTACTCAACTAGCCAGCCATGCCGACCTGTTCCATCTGGTGATCACAGATAATCAGAGACCAGACTCTCTCTCCCTCCCCCATGGCTTGGCCCCCCCCTATAAAGCCCACTACTCAATTCACCCAAGTCACTGCTCCTTGATCTGGGGGGAAGGGGGCAGCCCTGCGGTCTGGACTAATAAATCTTTCCTTTCCACACGTGGCGTGGTCTTAATTCAGCAGCACCTTACAATTATGAAATAATCCTAAGAATTATTGTTACAGTCCTCGATATGGCTTTGAGGGCTAAAAGAGCTACATGAAATATGCTTGTTTCCCTATTGACAGTCCATTCGTTCGCCCAATTTAATGACTCTCTGCTATCAGGCAATGCTTTGGGCTTGTACTTGAGCAAAATACTCCCATAGCTATCTAAAAACATGGATGGAGCTCAGACACCCATTTTTTTAGGCTGTCACAACATCAAGATGGTTGCAACAGGAAAGAAAGCTTCTCAAGTGATGGTAAAGGTGAAGAATGGATGGCTTAATGATCAATGCAAACAGGTGTGATGAAAAGCAGACTGCAGTACAGGTTTCTGATTCAGGCAGCTGGGTTCTATTCACTGAGATAAATAACACAGAAGGAGGCAATGCCATTTTAAAAGGAAAGGAAAAGAGCTTGGTCTGGAATCTGTGGTGGTCGCAATGACTGGGGGACAGCCAGATGGAAGTATACTCTACCAGCGGTCTGCAGCTTCAAAAGAGCGGGAATTAGATTTGTCATCATCTGTCTCTTAAATATGAAAACAATGGGATTGGATCAGGTGGCTCCAGGGAGCAGGGCCCAAAGTAAACAAAATGGGCTTGAAGCTGGTGCTTGAGAAGGCCAGCATTTAAGGTAGGAAACAAACATTAGCCGTGGATTGGTTTGGAGGGTATGCCAGTACTAAAACATAGCTCAATGACTTGGGTTCCCAATAAATAATGTCGCCATTTTGTGAATCAGAACCCATTTTATCCTCAGGCCGCACTTCATTGCCTCCTTGATTGTGGCTTGCACCCCAACCAGAGACTCCCATGCATGCCTAACTTCCTCAAGCTCCCTCTTCTATAAATGCCACACCTAGCCCAGTCAGCATTGCGCCATCTTTCCCCAGCCAGGCTGGCAGTTCCAGCCTGCCATTAAACCTTGCTCTGGGATATGAGGCTTTTCCCATGTGCTTTCTTTGCCATTGGTGTTTTTCCTAATAGTTCCAATATGCAGTTTTCCAGGAAGAGAATCTAAGACTTTCACAAGATTGTCACAGGATTCAAGACCCTCAAGGCAAATGTATAAGGATGCTTAGAGGGGAGGGGAAAAAAAAAAAAAAACCTAGGAAAGCAGGGAAAAGCAAAAAGAGAATCAGAGCAACAGCAGGACCTTAACACCTAGAGAGGTTTGGGGGCCAGAGTCCACGTGGCCCGGGAGGAGCGGGGCGGGGCGCAGGCGCTGTGGCCCGGGGACCGGCGGGCGGGGGCGGCGCTCACCGGGGCGGAAGGGCTCCAGCAGCACGTCGACCTGCGCGCACAGGCGCCGCAGCACCGCCACTCCCTGCGGCCGCTTCAGGTCCAGCACCAGAGAGCGCTTGCCCCGAGCCAGGCCACTCACATCGCCGGAGGTGTTGGGACGGTCCACGCGCACCACCTGCGCCCCGAAGTCCGCCAGCACTAAGCCGCAGAACGGACCCGGGGCTAGGCCGGCCAGCTCCACCACCCTGACGCCGAACAGTGCCATCGCGCCTGGCAGTCCCTTGAGAAAACTGAGCAACGCGGCCCCCGTCCCAGCCTCAGCTCCCGCTCCGCCCCGCCCCCGCTCCCGCTCCGCCCCGCCCCCGCTCCCGCTCCGCCCCCTCTCCGCCCCGCCGCGCGCGAGTCTGCGCACTGGTGCACTTCCCGCCTGCTCTCCCGCAGTCCCCCGCGCCAAGTGCCTTCATGCAGTGCAATCAGGAGGATCTACATCGCAACCTTGACCTTGAGCGCTCAGGCTTGTCACTGTCCTCTCAGGACGCTTTTACTCTCACCACGGCAATCCCTGGCCATTGTGTCATTTGAGCCCCTACCCCCGCCTGGCCTGGCCGTAGAGAAATAAAGCTATCTAAACATAGGTAAGAGCAATGCAAGGATATTTCCTTTCTTTGGCTTGCTACACTGCCCCTACTACTTAGCTACTGGATGGTTTCATCCTAAATTACTTTGAGAACCCTCAATTACTTTGAGAACCCTCGTGGATACATTAGGGGAACAATTTTTATAGGAGAATATCAATGGGAGTGTTGCTCATCAGGGATAAATGAGCTTTTAAAATCTTTAGTTTTCACTTTCAAGTTTTCAACTTTAATGCCTACCCTTTAAAAAAGTTAAAAAAGCCACTAATAGCCTAACCACTTGTACAAATCACTTTCTATCCTGGTATAGTCTGTGTGTAGGTAGTCTGAAGTAATTTTTAACACTCTAGGAAACTGAAATGAGTTCAGGAAAATTTCTGCACTAAGCTTCTGTGAATATGGGCTTATGTATTTTGAGGCAGGTGATGACTCCAAAAGCAAGACTCAGCTCAATTGTAACCAAAATCTTTTAGGCAATCTGGAACTACTCCCGATGAGTTTTAGGATCCTGTAGGGCTTCTAGGATCCTGAAGGGCTTTGTGGCTCTCTCCTCATGATGAGTTGCCTCCCACCAGGGACAGGCACCTTTGCCTGACCTCTGAATGTCCTCTGTGTCTATCTCTAGCTCATGTTCCTACCTTTGTTCAAGCCTAAAGTTGCTTATCCCCTCTTTTGTTTGTATTCTGAGAAACTTAAAAAGAAAGATAAAAACGCAAAGAATGACATAGAAGACTTCCACACTGAGACATTAGTATTTCATACTTAGTTTTCTGAAAAACCAACAGTAACAGAGAAAGCTTGAGCTAACACACAGGATCAGAGTCACAGGATGCTGGATATCACAGAGACCACACCCAGCACAAGCTTTGCTAAGAATTTCACAGATCTGGGTCATCACGGCTCAAAGCAGAAAAAGCTCTAGGAAATCTCACAGAACTCTTCAGCTCTTTGCTGCCTGGAGCACACACCTTCTCAAACAGGCTAAGTTGTGTCTTTTACAAAATTCATGTCCTAATTCATAATACATCAAAATGTGATTTTATCTGGAGCTAAGGTCTTTAAAGAAGTAACTAAGGTAAAATGAGTTCAAATAGACAGACCCCAATATGACTATTAGCCCTATTTATAAAAATTTAAAAAGAGAGAGAGAGAGAGAGGGCGAGATGAAAAATGGAAAAAAAACTAGGGACAACCAAATGATAGAGCAGTGAAACCAAGAAGAAAGGCTTCAGAGAAAACCAAGCCTGACAACACCTTAACCTCGAACTTTAGCCTCCAGAATTATGAAGAAAGAAATTTGTTGCTTAAGCCCCAGCCTGTCATCTGCAACAAAATGGATGAAAGTAGGGACATTATATTAAGCTAAATAAACTAAACACAGAAGTACTATATGTTCTTTCTCATGCAAGAAAACTTAAAGAAAAAATCACCTAAAAGTAGATTAGTGATTACTATGGATTGGGAAGGGTGCTGGTGTTGGACTGGAAGAAAGGTGGTTGGATATGATCAATGCTATAGGCATGTATGAAAATATTACACTGAATTCCACTAAAATGTAAATTAATATATATTAATAGTAAATATGGCATTTTACAAAAAAGTATAGACCTTTTTGACCGAATAATTCTACTTCTAGAAATTTTATCAATGAAAATATTTATATGCATAAATAGGTTTTTTTTTAACAAAGAAGGCTCATGACACATTATTTGTAATTAAAAATAAACCCTGGAAACAACAGCAACAACAAATCTAAGATGAAAAGATTAAATAAATTATGCAGCTATTAAAATTATGTTTTTAAGTGGTCCAAAATAGTACTTGAGAGTGCTCTTAACATGTTAGGTCAAACTATAGCAAGATACAAAAATGTACAAGAAGTATAATGTCAGATGGTCTCTTTTATTACTGTGCTTACAATAAAAACCATAAATATACACAAAAACTATAATAAATACTTCAAAAGGCTAGCATTATTTAATGTGATGGCATGACTAATTTTTATACTACTTTTATGTGTTTTATAAATTTTCTATAGTGATTCTTTTGATAATCATAAAGGAACAAAATATTTTTAAAAAAATAATAACACATCTAACAAAGCAAGAAATTGCATCTGGCCAGCAAGATTTATCTTTTCCACAAGCTTCTTTCATGCTTTCAGCTGAGTGTCATTTCTCTCTCCTGTGTGTTCCTGGCCCTTTGCTCTTTGTGGCTGTTAAAACACTCTGCTTTATATTTTTTTGTATACTTACCCCCTTTACCCTGTTGTCCTCTATTAGGTTGAAAACCCAGAGAAGGTAAAAATTGTAAATATTGTAGTGGATACCGGAATAGCACAGTGGAAGTTTATCAGTTCTAGCTATATCCTTTAGAATGTCCATATGCATATTCCATGCTGTTTGAATTTATTTTAATTTTATTTTTGGCTTCAGCTTTTTTTCCTGATATGCTCCCAAAATCCCTTTAATATTTCAAATGGTCCAAGCAGCATTTAAGAGTACTCTTGGACTGATGGAGCAGCTCCAGTAGTACAGCTCCTACCTAGCAGACATGAGGCCCTGAATTCAAACTCCAGTACCACCACAACAAAAAAGAAAGACCCCCTATATATACTATGGTTTTTTTTCCCTATGCATACACACGTTAATGACTTCTCCGTGGACTATGGCTGTAACTTATGCACTCTGAGGTAGGACAACAAAACTAGCATGAATGTCTTTTCCCTTCTTCACAATCCACAGATAGAAGAGTCACTGCTACTTCACCTCTTAAAAACCTCAGCATATAATTATTTTCCCTTCCTTTTTGAGAACTTTTACCTTTTTGCCTAAAGGAAGCATTTCATGACTTCTGTTTGGCATATCTGAATTTCCAGCATCACTGCTCTTGTGCTCTGGGACATTATTAATTAAAATAGGGGTTACCTGAACACAAGCACTGCTATGAGGATCAGTCATAGTCAACCCGGCACCCAAGACAGCTACTACATGCCTAATGGGTTGGTGGTACTTGAGTGTGGAAACTCTGGCAAAGGGATGATGCATGTTCCTGGAGGGTGGAGTAGAACAGCATGAGACTTCATCCTGCTACTCAGAATGACACACAATTCAAAACTTATGAATTGTTTACTTTGATAATTTTCCATGTAATATTTTTGGACCTCAGTTAACTATGAATAATTAAAACTGAAGAAAACAAAAACCATAGATAAGACTCATCATGGGTACAATTGTGAAAGCATTGATAATTATTTTATCCTTTACCCTTCTCCCTTGTGAATCACTTTTCTTCACACGTGGCCCAAAATGCTTTCTATCTCCTTACAGTCAAACTTTGGGTGTGTCTGTTAGGATGACAGAATTTAGGCATGAATATATAAAAACTTAGGTGTGTGATAAAGACCCATCCACTCAGATACTCAGATCTTATTAACCACTAATGTCTTAAAAGGTAGAAGTTATAACAATGGAATAACTGAAAGTAGAGTTTTTGGTAGACAGGTGACCCTGCTCTGTGCTTACATCACGGATTTGTATGGCTTTCACATTGTCTGCATGAGAAGGTTTTGCTTTAATAATTGTATGATTATTAAAGAACATATTGAATAAAGGTGTGTTTATTTCCTTATGTGCCTATTACATTTTTCTTGCTGCAGTTTCATCTAAAGCCAGGCCAATATCTTTTCTCTAAGGCACTAATTAGGTAGTGTACATTCTTTGGAAATGAAATCTCTTTGGTCAGCATGCAACATTCAAATATTTATTGGCAATACACTTCTATAAAAAATTTATGATATTTGATCACTGTAAATCTCAACCTCATGACCCTATAGCCCAGGGGGAAGAATTGTAAGATCACAAAAAATATTTCTGATCACATAGTAGCTAATACCGACTCACTTTTAAGGAGCACTATGTGTGAATTCAGTAAGAGTTTAGACATATTTGTGATCAAAGGAAAGGGTCAAAGGCTGAACTGTACATAAAGGACACTAAGTTAGTTAATAAAGCAGCCCTACTTAGCTCTCTCTGCTTCTAGCTATAATGTACTCAATACAAGGAAATCCATAGTCTAAAGCTTATGTGGAAATTCAAATTGTATTTCTCATTATGTCAAAGGGAATTCATCATGTGGTATTTTTCAGATTGGCATCTCGCTAGTACATTTTAAATAAGATTCAACATCAGGGTAAACACGTATTGTAATGATATTTTCTTTGCCTAAAATAAACCACTTTGAGTGCTGGGGGGTAGTTCAGCGGAGAGGACTTACCTACCATGTTCAAGGCCCTAGGTTTGATCCCAAGCACTGCAAAAAAATGGGAGTGCTACCTGTGGGTACCACCCTTAAAACCTATGACACAGTCTAATGAGTAATGTTTTGGTGGCAAAATGTAATCCTTTGAGAATAGATTTTTGGGGCAAGGAAGGTTAGGCAAAAGGCAAATAGTACTTCCTACAACACCTGGCATGTCAAAACTGCTTGGGAAGCATGAATTAAATACAGTAATAATATCATTTATAACCGTTCTGGTATTCATTCTTTACAGTGAAATGTTAACACATCATATTTATTTTAGCACATCAGTGTATTTTCTGTATTTAATTATAAAAATTAATTTATAAAAATTATTTGCAACCATGTGACACTATGATTTGTTGTCTAGTTGAATATGATATCAGCTTGTCCTAAAGCTGTCCTCCTATTTAATTTACTCATGTGTTCATTTTAAATGAAATACTCACTATGTGTAGGAATATGTATTCTGGAGGTGCTTGATCTATCTATACAGAAAAATTAGGAATTATTAAATGCTCCCAGAAATCTTAATTGTGTTTATTTTTAAAAACCTGTAATGTTAGACTTGTGTGCATGGAAGTAATTAAGGTATATCATTATTTTAAAATTTGTACATGATAAAACATTGTTACTTTTACTGTATGTTTTTACTGAATGATCTAGTCCCCATATGAAGGAAAGCATGAATAAAATTAGGTTAAATGTAAAAAACAAAAGAGTAATAAAGGAAATCATAACATTTTTGTTGAAGAAAGGTTAAGATATTTACTTTTATGTCTCTTAAATGCATGCCCTTAAATTTATATCCATTATTCTGACTGTACATAGGTTTACAGCCCCTTTGACATAGAATAGTGTGTGTAAAATATAAGTATGTTAAGATCATTTCCAAATTTAAAAAGGTGATAACATCTATACACTATCTACCTGGGCAGGTTCTGCATCCTAGAGTCAACAAAGATCTATTATAGTCTAAGAAATACAATGGCAAAGAGAAAATCTGATAAACCTAATTCTGGATCCTGAGAAAATGTTACTTCTAAAAGTATAAGCCATTAGAAGTCAAGATTTAATTGGAAAAGTACCTTTATTTTTTAAAAAGGAGGAGCCAATTACTTGTGGGCAAGTAGACAGTAGTTTTACTATCTAAAAACTATCTGGAATTACTAAAAAATATCTATACTTTATTCATGAATACTAACCCACTGAATTAAAGTGTTCCTTCCCAGTCTAGTTTTTACAAGTGTTTTCAGTACTGGGTCCTGACAAGTGTCCTTGTTCTTCCCCTATTTTCTGCAACCTATTCTCTGAAATGTTGTAAAGAATAATGAATTCAAAACTTCAGGGATCCCTAAAGGCTGATATTAAACAGAAACCAAAGCACCAAAACTCTTTGCAAATGATTTCTTTGGTAAAAAAATTATTTCCACCCTGAATCGGGATAATTATTTTTTAAGTACATAGGGAAGAGTGATAAAGGTGCAGAGTATATTCTCAAGGTCTCTGAGAAGACTACTTTGTGGTTTACTCTTCTGAGCCCCTGAGTCATCCAACATAATTGGTGTGCCTATGGCATGATTTGCAGTGTAACCAATAAATTTTTTTTCTACAGCATGTAGGCATGTAGAACTCTCAAACTTTCACTGTTCCTCAGATCATACTAATATCTGCTCGGCTATGTCTTTCTATTGGAGCTGTTCTATTTATTTAGTCTATTTATTTAGTTTCAAAGAGTAGGAAGCCTGCAAAGGTGGAGAAGCGCTGGTGGTCCCCATGGAGGGCACCATTGCCCATTCTCAGCCAAACCTCATCCCCTTTGGCCAGCTTCAGCACTGCATGGTTGCTGGATGTATCTGATTTCCCCTTTGTTTCATAGCTAGAAAGAAAAAGATGCAAAACTACTTAGTCTTTGCAATGTACAGTTAGCTCTTTGCCAAAATCTATCCACCCCTTCATGCATGCATTTAGGTATAGTTATGTGATAAGTTCTTTGAATGGCATGTGCCACTTCTAGAGCTGGCCTACAAAACTGTCACAAACACTCATCCTTGGTCCTTCTTTCTTACAACTATATGGAACGTTAACAGCAATGACTAGAATGGCCACGAAAGCCATATGTAGAAGTTTGGATTCTTGAAGGCTGATATGAAGAAGAGAGTCCCTCCTTGCCCCAACTGCAGCATCCATCCTGAGCTATTACCATGGACTCTTTGATGAAAAGAAAGGAAATCTCTACCATGCATGGTTGAGCCATTACTTTGAGTTCTTGTTACAGCAGTTTTACTTCCCCTAACTGACCTAGAATTTGGTACTCAAGGATGATGCTGCCAAAACCCAAAAGAAAATATGTTGCATTGGCTTGTTGTCAGGCAGGGAGCAGTGGGTAAACAAATACTGTGAACTGGAAAGCTGGAGATCCATGTTAGGCTGATGGCAAAACTTTTGGGAAAATATGACAAAGGACTAGACCTAATGCCTGTACAATAAGTAAGGGAAACAATTTAAAGAAATACTCTTTTCTGCTTTTAGGTGTTTCTATAAAAGGGGAGTTCAGACAAGAATTAAGATGCTTGAAACAGAAGTAAACAGTCTTTTTACTTCTTACAAGTCAGTGGCCTACCAAGGTTGAAAAAGCCAAGTGCTTTTATACCTGGAGAAATAGAGACAAAGCTAGTGTTTTCCCACTTAGAACTTTCAGTCATTCAGACAAACACATATTTGTTAAACTGATGAATGGGTAGAAAATATTACTTTTCTACCCAAATCTATTGTTGCAAAGGGTCTCTTGGTAACTACCATTAAATTGAGACAAAGGCAAAAGATAAGGAATCAGAAGAATAGCAGGCTGAAAACTATCAAGCAAAGTGCTTCATGTGATTGACTAACACATGTAACTGATGACAAGCAAATACAGCAAAATCCTTACAGGTTTCTGAAGAAATGATATTGCCAAAGACCCAGACTAGACTTAAATGGGTTTGGGATGTTTGACTTAACTCTAGGATTTGCACCAGCAGGAAGAAGACTATGAACAAGAGGCCTGAGGAGAGGCTCTGTTAGATGTGGCCAAGGAGAAAAACAGACTAAAAAGACCATCTCTGCAGACAGAATCAGGGTACAAGGGGAAAAAATAGCCCAAGGATAGACTTGATGAAAAGCACTGTTCAGGTTCTGATTCTGGGCTTTGAACTTGATGCGTGAGCTGTGGTTTAGACTGTCTCCCATGGGTAGAGATGGAGAGATATGTATTCTAAGTGAAGAAAGAAGAACTCAGAGATATTTGGAAGCCAGAGGGTCACAGAAGGCTGAATGTTCACCAAAATCCACTCTCCTTTCTTCCACAGGAGCTTCACTTGCAGTGTTCCTTGCTGCCCTTGCATTGAATGGGTGGGATTGGGTACAATGTGATTAAATTCTACAAGAAGAATTCAAGAGGCATAAAAATTTTGACAAGCTTGTTCTTCCTCCTTTGATTCTGGCAATGACAATGACCAATGAAAATTTAGAAATCAGTTTTATAGATGGTGAGTGGTTTTCATCATCCTGAGTCCCTCAAAAACCAGGAGGAACAGCCCTCTCCCAACCTCTGCACAGGCCCTCCCCCTACATTTGCTACTACTCTCCTCCCTCTCCAACCTGGAACCCTTGCCCAGAAAAATAGATCTGGTATGTTTATGCCAGCACATTCTGTTTCTCTTGTAGCAATGTCATCTACCCTAGTGAGTTACATCATTTTCCTCTTTAGGCTACTCAAATACATCTTTCATGCAGACCAAGCTCTGGAAGGAAATAGCAGTCATCACAAGTCATTAAAAATAAAAATAACAGAGAAAAGGTATCAGCCATTAAGTTTTCAAGAGACAACACATGGCCCATATAATTATGCACTCCACCTTCTGCACATCCTAAGCTAATGTAGCAGCACAGTGTAATATTAAAAAAATTTTTTTCTTCCAAGGATCCCTAAGACCTGGTTGCTAAGCACAGCCTGAAGAAAGGAGCCTACTTTGGCTTTCTCAATCCCCCAGTGCCAGTGATGGTGAAGAAAGTCAACAATAAGGCCAAGCATCAAGCAAAGAGGTCAGGAGAGAAGGAAGGCAAAGAATGAAAAAAAGAGAAGGAACACAAAATAAGTCAAGAAAGGGTCCAAATGATGGGCTTGGGGAGTGCAGCTATTACTTAGGCCAAGGTCTCTTACCAACCTGTTGATACTCTTATTTATTAGGTTTATTTCTTCCAAACAATAATGCTAATCTGACCATAAATCAGGTATGGAGGCTCTCAATGAGGATAAGGGACACTTTAGGCTCTGTTGATTCCTACACATTTCCCTATTGTTGGACTTCCTCTGTACTGCAAGCGATGCAGTACCGATGAGACCTGTGACAGAAAAGACCACCCACCTGTACATGCTGAAGACTGTATTGCCATTGTGCATAAGGTACACATACACTTCCTCAACGTCCTCATGCTTCATCATGCTGAAGGTGAAGAAATACACACCTGAAAAAGGCAAGTGTTTACCCAGATTTATAATAATGATTTAAACAGGAAGATCTGAAGATAGAGAGATATGTCAAATGATTTCATGCTACTTTTGTTATGTTTTTGTTAGCATAAATTAATTGTACAGAGGAGTTTCATTGTGATATTTATATAATGTATAAGATGTACTTTGATTGAATTCACCCTATTACTCTTTCTTAACCCTTCATTCTCCTTACTCCTTTTAAAAATTTTTAATGAGTTTGTTACTGTTTTCACACTCACGCACACACACACATATGCACACAAATGCACACACACACACACATATAGTGCATTTCAATCATATTCATCCCCATCATCCTCTCCTTTCTCTTTCCCCCTCTCACTGGTTCCCAAGCTGTCCCCTTTTAAAATCATGTCATATTATTTTTTTAGGTCTAGATTCTGCATATGAACAAAAGTGTGTGATATTTATCTTTCTGAACTTGGCTTACCTCATTCAACATGATGATCTCTAATTCCATCCATTTTCTTACAATCAACATAATTTCATTCTTCTTTATGGCTGAATAATACTCTATTGTGTATATGTACCTTATTTTCTTTATCCATTTTTTGGTTTTTGGAAATCTAGGCTGATTCTATACCCTGGCTATTGTGTATTATGTAGTTTCTTCTTGGCCTTTATTTGCCTGAATGTCCCTTTATCTGCCCACCTTCAAAGCATTTTAAAAAATTTTAAGATTCTTGATGTGTACACTGTGCATATCTAATAACATTATAAAATCTTTAAGGGATGGAGTCTACCTCACCTTAGCTGTTATCTCGTTGCCTCATCCCCTGACCAAGGACTTAGGACAAAGTACATTCCATTTCTAGGTGTAGGTTAACTACTAACAGTATCTACTACGGGGCTCATGATGACAAGGTACTGAGAGTCCTGTGGATGAGCCCGTGGTGCTCTGAGGCCTAAGAAAATGAACTAAGCATGAAATTGCAATGGATGAATGTACTTCTCAAATGTCAACCAAAATTAAAAACAAAAACAAAAAACACTGGCACACAGAATAAATGTTTAATAGTTCTTAAGAAATACTTCAAGTAAAATATCTCATGATATTCATTGTAAATCAGTGAAATTATGTATAATAAATAGATCTAACTTCAACTCAATATCACAACCTTGTTACTAAAAGTCTGTACCCTTCTTATTTGAAAAAGTAATATATTTTAAAACATACGTGTTTTCTTATAAGAGCCTAAGGCTCCTAATGGAAAGCAGTTCAAAATTATCTAATATATTTTAAATGTCAGCATAGAAGATACTTTCATTGAATGATTAATAAGAATCCAATGTCAGACAGACAAGTTAAAAGTATAGTCAGAATGTAGATTGTGCTAGCTTTTATATAAAAAGAAGAGAAAATATTTTTCATGGGTTTGTGTGAATAAATTATTTGGAGTTTTAAAATATGTTAACTACTCAATTTTTAATATTAAAACAAGTGGATCAGGCACTCCTTGGTGGTGGCAAAGCAGGGCACAGTTATAACACAAACTATGAGAATTAATGTTCTTAGGACTTTTAAAATCAGAGGTGACTATGTCTTCTCAAGGATTATTTGGTTTAGTTCAAATTAGAGTTAACAATCTCAATAACCATGGTCATCAATTTTAAAAATGTGTTTCTCTGTTCAGATTCTAATTCATTTACTTTGAAATTCCACAGAAATCTATGAGCTGTAACCAAAAAGAACTTCAACTTACTTCAGTATCTTCCTTTCTTTGTTCCCTCTTTCTTTCCTTCTTTCTCTCCTTCTTCCTTCCTTCCATACTTCTTCTTCCCTCACTTTTAATCTTTCCTTTCGCTTATACTCCTTCCTTCCTTCCCTCCCTCCCTCCTTCCTTTCTTCCTCCCTCACTTCTCTTCCTCCTTCCTTCCTTTTCTCCTCTTTCTTGATGTTTAGATTGATCAAATCAATCGTTCATTTATTTTTACATCTCACCTGATACAGGGGCCCCAAATCTACCAGTCATGACATCAAAGAAGTTTCCAATGTTGGTCTCAACACTGCTAAAGATAATTCCACTGTTCTGATTGCTGAAGTGAGTTGCCAGAGAAGCCATGAATGCAATCTAAGAAAGAAATTTGGTGGTCAATTAATAAACAATTTATCTTAAAGAAAGAATGTCTTTATACAGGTAAGTTTATTGCAACATTATCTGTAATGGCAAACTTGGAAATAACTTCAATACCAATCTTTGGACAAATAAATCATTGTCATTTCTAACATTTTTATGCTATGCAGCCATTAGAATGACCATGTATATCAGCAGTTCTGAATAAATGTTTCAAAGAACATTAGCCTTTAAAGTGCTTTTTGAAATATAAAAATTCTATCATCAAATAATACTTGGAAAATTTGGATGAAACTCTCAGATTGCAGATATTAAATGTGCATTAATATATTAAAGGATCTGGAAATCCTACAACTGAACAACCTAATTTTGTTAGCCTTGCATTAATTTTTCCTCAAATGATGTCTGTTAATTTCTTCCTGAATGCATTATTTGAATACACTTTGAGATTCCTTGATGCTGATCTATCTATCTATCTATCTAATGGAAATACGTCTTTTATGCATCATTTAATTACAAAGTGGGCAACACAAGATTATTTATGACTTCATACCAGACTTTGTTAAGTGTGTCTGTCTAGGTGGAGTTGTTCTGGGGGCAAATGGAAGAAAATATCTGCAAAATACCCCCAAAATTATTATCATCAAAGCTTACTCTGTAGAAGTTTTGGGGTTTTTTTTTTGTTTCTCACTACAACGATAATATTCACATGGAAATTCATATTTTTATAAGTTAATTTCATTTAGAAAAGGTATAAAATTTGAAAGTATGGAGTTGTATTTATTTACATGAAAGTGTATTCAGGAAATATTGTCATTCATGAGATAAAGTAATAAAGCAATACCTACTATATGTTCTTATCATACTTAAAAATAATACACATAAATATAAAATAGTTACATAGCTGTGTGCTAATAGTAATCATCTCTGGACATTCTGTATTTTTCGCAAAGCTGTTTTCTAATTTTTTATAATGATAGGATATTATATGAACCATCTATATATTTTTTTGTTTTTGTTTTTGTTTTTTATTATTATTATTCATATGTGCATACAAGGCTTGGGTCATTTCTCCCCCTGCCCCCACCCACTCCCTTACCACCCACTCCGCCCCCTCCCTCTCCCCCCCAACCCCTTAATACCTGGCAGAAACTATTTTGTCCTTATCTCTAATTTTGTTGAAGAGAGAGTTTAAGCAATAATAGGAAGGAACAAGGGTTTTTGCTGGTTGAAATAAGGATAGCTATACAGGGCATTGACTCACATTAATTTCCTGTGCATGTGTGTGTTACCTTCTAGGTTAATTCTTTTTGATCTAACCTTTTCTCTAGTTCCTGGTCCCCTTTTCCTATTGGCCTCAGTTGCTTTTAAGGTATCTGCTTTAGTTTCTCTGCATTAAGAGCAACAAATGCTAGCTAATTTTTTAGGTGTCTTACCTATCCTCACCCCTCCCTTGTGTGCTCTCGCTTTTATCATGTGCTCAAAGTCCAATCCCATTGTTGTGTTTGCCTTGATCTAATGTCCACATATGAGGAGAACATACGATTTTTGGTCTTTTGGGCCAGGCTAACCTCACTCAGAATGATGTTCTGCAATTCCATCCATTTACCAGCGAATGAGAACATTTCGTTCTTCTTCATGGCTGCATAAAATTCCATTGTGTATAGATACCACATTTTCTTAATCCATTCGTCAGTGGTAGGGCATCTTGGCTGTTTCCATAACTTGGCTATTGTGAATAGTGCCGCAATAAACATGGGTGTGCAGGTGCCTCTGGAGTAACCTGTGTCACAGTCTTTTGGGTATATCCCCAAGAGTGGTATTGCTGGATCAAATGGTAGATCAATGTTTAGCTTTTTAAGTAGCCTCCAAATTTTTTTCCAGAGTGGTTGTACTAGTTTACATTCCCACCAGCAGTGTGAGAGGATTCCTTTTTCCCCGCATCCTCGCCAACACCTGTTGCTGGTGGTGTTGCTGATGATGGCTATTCTAACAGGGGTGAGGTGGAATCTTAGTGTGGTTTTAATTTGCATTTCCTTTATTGCTAGAGATGGTGAGCATTTTTTCATGTATTTCTCAGCCATTTGAATTTCTTCTTTTGAGAAAGTTCTGTTTAGTTCACTTTCCTATTTCTTTATTGGTTCATTAGTTTTGGGAGAATTTAGTTTTTTAAGTTCCTGTATATTCTGGTTATCAGTCCTTTGTCTGATGTGTAGCTGGCAAATATTTTCTCCCACTCTGTGGGTGTTCTCTTCAGTTTAGAGACCATTTCTTTTGATGAACAGAAGCTTTTTAGTTTTATGAGGTCCCATTTATCTATGCTATCTCTTAGTTGCTGTGCTGCTGGGGTTTCATTGAGAAAGTTCTTACCTATACCTACTAACTCCAGAGTATTTCCTACTCTTTCCTGTATCAACTTTAGAGTTTGTGGTCTGATATTAAGATCCTTGATCCATTTTGAGTTAATATTGGTATAGGGTGATATACATGGATCTAGTTTCAGTTTTTTGCAGACTGCTAACCAGTTTTCCCAGCAGGTTTTGTTGAAGAGGCTGCTATTTCTCCATCATATATTTTTAGCTCCTTTGTCAAAGACAAGTTGGTTATAGTTGTGTGGCTTCATATCTGGGTCCTCTATTCTGTTCTACTGGTCTTCATGTCTGTTTTTGTGCCAGTACCATGCTGTTTTAATCGTTATTGCTTTGTAGTATAGTTTGAAGTCAGGTATTGTGATACCTCCTGCATTGTTCTTTTGACTCAGTATTGCCTTGGCAATTCGTGGCCTCTTGTGTTTCCATATAAATTTCACGGTAGATTTTTCGATCTCTTTAATGAATGTCCTTGGAGTTTTGATGGGAATTGCATTAAACATGTAGATTACTTTTGGGAGTATCGACATTTTTACTATGTTGATTCTACCAATCCATGAGCATGGGAGATCTCTCCACTTTCTATAGTCTTCCTCAATCTCTTTCTTCAGAAGTGTATAGTTTTCCTTGTAGAGGTCTTTCACATCTTTTGTTAGGTTTACAACTAGGTATTTGGTTTTTTTTGAGGCTGTTGTAAATGGAATTGTTTTCATACATTCTTTTTCAGTTTGCTCATTGTTAGTGTATAGAAATGCTAATGATTTTTCTATGTTGATTTTATATCCTGCTACCTTGCTGTAGCTATTGATGATGTCTAGAAGCTTATGAGTAGAGTTTTTTGGGTCTTTAAGGTATAGGATCATGTCATCTGCAAATAGGGATATTTTGACAGTTTCTTTACCTATTTGTATTCCTTTTATTCCTTCTTCTTGCCTAATTGCTCTGGTTAGGAATTCCAGTACTATGTTGAATAAGAGTGGAGATAGTGGGCATCCTTGTCTGGTTCCTCATTTTAGAGGGAATGGTTTCAGTTTTTCTCCATTAACTATAATGCTGGCTGTAGGTTTGTCATATATAGCTTTTATAATGTTGAGGTACTTTCCTTCTATTCCTAGTTTTCTTAGAGCTTTTATCATGAAATGGTGTTGGATCTTATCAAAGGCTTTTTCTGCATCTATTGAGATGATCAAGTGGTTTTTGTCTTTGCTTCTGTTACTGTGCTGAATTACATTTATAGATTTATATATGTTGAACCACCCCTGCATTCCTGGGATGAAGTCTACTTGGTCGTGGTGAATATTCTTTTTGATTTATTGTTGAATTCGGTTTGCCATTATTTTGTTGAGGATTTTTGCATCAATGATGAACCTTCTTTTAAAGGCAAAGGGAAGTTTTAAGTTATCTAAAATATAGAAATGTGTTTGAATATTCAAAAAGCAAAAATTTCTGGACATGGTCTTGCATAAAAAATGTCATACTGGAGAGGAAAATTTAGATTTAAGAGAACCAAAGAAGTCCCTAATTCCAGTGGCCACTTCTGCAACTGGTTCCAAATACTTTACCTGTTAATAGTTTATAGAAAGCTTCACTTCACCAGTAAAATATTGGTGAAAAGAATTATTTTAAGAAACCTGCTCATAGTTCAAATCAACAGGTCCTGTGAATTTGGGTACAGAGCTATCTACTTGGATCCAAATAGACTGAGTCTCAGTTCTATTAATTCTGTGTAAGTTGTTGGTATTTGAACCTCAAATTTCTGTATCACTTATGGGGAGAGTGAGCCACTACCATTACTCCTGTTCTTCCTACTGCTGCTACTGATGTTCCAAAACAGGATTAAAGTTCAAAATACAAAATTTTAGTAATTAAAAGAGCCTTAGGACAATCCCACTTGTCAAGAAATGGTTTTATTTAAAACCACCTTCAGAGGAGATTTGAAAGTCAATGTCAATTCCTTATCCGAATGCATGATTGAAACTGAGTGTAAATGAGATTAATAAATTCTTTAACTTGCTGGGATAATCTGTCTTAAAGAATGTGAAGCCTCTCCTTTACAGTCTGTATAAGACAAGTCTTTTCACTTCTGTTAAACATGTGGAAGTCCAAATACTACATTGTTGTATTAGGGTAAAATAGTTAACAGATTGAATGTAATGATTGCCCAGGGTGCTCTCCACTAAATTTGCTACTCCAGTTCCCCTTGGCCATGATATAACTATTCACACATTCTGTGTTAGTGTTTCTAGCTTTGAGATGTTTAGTCCATCTTAGTAAAATACCTTAACCTGGCTAGATGGTCTCCTCGATCTCTCTCTCTCTCTCTCTCTCTCTCTCTCTGCACATGTGTGCAAGTATGTATGTCTCCCCCCACCCCTTTCACTTTTTAAAATTTATCCTGGTAAATGGATTCCAAGTTGCTGAAAATATTAAACAACATTCATTAAAAAGTTACAAAAAAGAAGTTACAGTAGCAAGCAGGACAACTTATTTTACATTGAAAAACTAAGCCTTAGAAAAATGATGCAAATTATCCAAGGTCAAACATATGCCACCCCCCCAAAAAAATAAGGCAGAACTTTCTTCCAATAGATCTTTCAGGCAAGAATTGCTATATTCTAGTTCTAGAAGGTTGACAGGATATTCTCCCAAATATTTATTTTAAGCACAAATTACTCCTTCAGGAAGACAGATTAGCCAGAAACAACAACAAAAAAATGCTACTTTTCAATGTTTGATAGACATCCCCAAGAGGAACTGATTTTAAAATATTAGCCAAAAAATTAACCCCAGACTTAATTTTTCTAACCTCACATGTACAAGTTTTAGCTATTGTTGCAACAAGAACTTTAAAAGAGAAATGCATAGATAAATGGGTACTTGAGCTTGGCATGAAATATACAACAATAACATCATAAATGGATTCAAAAATTTTATTCTGAAATGATCTGATCTGGAAAACTATGAAATGCATGACTCAGAAATGAAATGTCCCCAATGAAAAGAAGATTCCAATGGGAGAAGTTTAAATAAAAATTGTCTACAAAATCTGACTTGATAGAAAACAGTAAGTATTAATACCCATTACGTGATTTAAATATGTAATGTGGCAAAATTAATAAAATACTACAAGCAGACATTTAGCCATTGCATTTATATGTCTAAAAGTTTATGTATTCAGACAAGATCAGACGCATTCAGGGTGGTGTGGCCGCACACAAAGTTTATGTAGTCACATTGGCTAATTTTCTCATCTGAAAAATAGGATATGAGTTTATATTCAGGTATCTGGTCCTCTGAGAGAGTTAGATTTCACTCTTGGTAAATTTCTTTCCTCCCTAAGGACAATCTCAAAACCCTCTGTTCACACAGTTTAGGCTTAATGCAAGCATCCTGTGATGTAGATGAACAAACTGAAACCCAGCATTCCTGAGATTGGTAAAGGCATAAAGCCCTCAAACCTGGTTCCTGGTCCTTAGAGGCCACCCAAAACCCAGCAGGGAGCATTTTACCTGAAGTTCTGGTGGAATTCCTGGGTAGCCCTTTTCTCCTTTGGGGCCATGTTGCCCCCGTTCCCCTCGAGGTCCCAGGTCACCTTTGTCTCCTTTCTCCCCTTTGGCCCCTTCATGGCCAGTGGCTCCATTATTTCCATTGTTTCCATGGTTTCCTTAAACAACCAGAAATCATTACATGAGAATATCTAGTCACTCCTATTTACCATTCACTTTTAGAGAAACACAGCCCTTACCTCAAAAACATCTCAACTCATCCAGTTTTAGTGGTACACTCCTAGAATTCCAGCTACTGGGAAGGAGGAAGTGGGAGGATCATGGCTGAGGTTAGCCAGGCAAAATCTTGAGACTCTATCAGAAAAATAACTAAAGCAAAATGGGCTGAGGGTGTGGCTCAAGTTGTAGAGTGCTTGCCCAGCAAGCACAGGTCCTGAGTTCAAACCCCAGTACTGCCTATGTATATAAAAGCAACTTAATTATAAAAGAGGATTATTTGAAACAATCCCAAATACAGCCAAGGGGGCATTGTAAACTAGATCCTCTTTTACTGGTCTCTGAAAATAGCCTTAGAAACCCTAAGGCTCCAATGCCTGTCTTTCTGTAAAGCAAAACTTATATGAAAAATTGTGTTGAATAATGATTAGGTTATCATTTAAAATAGCAAAGATCAGAAACCACCAAAATACCCACCAATACTAGAAGGGCTACACTGCTTAAATGCCATATTTCAGTAAACAATATTGTATAGTCACACAAAATGCTGAAAAATTTTTTTAATAATATAGGGATATCTATGGGCTTTCAGATAAATAAATAGGGATAACATAAACACTATTTTAGTTTGGAACAACATATATGTATAGATTTTATCCATAAGGAAAAAGACTAGAGTAAATATTTACACTTTTTTTCCTGAATGATGAAACATTAGTGATTTTGTTTCGTCATTCTATATATTTTTGTCTCTTTCAAGATTTCCACCAAGGATGCATATAATTTTTTATAACTGGGATAAAATTAAACACAATAACAAAAATATAATAATTTTGAAAGCAAGAGTTAGATAACAATTTCAATGCTTCACTTTGCCACTGACAGATGACTTCTGTACCTCTTCTGTGTTTTATATTTGCTAAATTCCAGGGCTTTTCACTGTTTATTTTGCATGTTACCTTTGATCAGGCATTGTATCAGGCCTGTGATCCTTCCAGATGGATGAACTTTGACTGTTTATAGGATAATGTGTTCTGTGACAAAGCCATTTCCTAATAGGAAACGTTTAACCAAGGCCAGCCTGGCCTGTAACCTTGCAGTAGTTTGACTGTTTATAGCTGAGAAGATTTTAGAACAGTCTGGATATTTCCTACCCCCCCTCACTGGGGGCTATCACCCTTAATGGAACCAATGACATTTGTTCCATGCCAGTAATCATGGTTTTAAGCTTAATCCAAAATTTTTCTTTATAAACTTGAATTCATAGGAGAAGCTGTGCAAAAGTGTAAGAAATTAAACCAAAGTGGATAAATATTAACATCAATTGGGGTAAGTCAGAGAACAGTAGGTGGCATTTGGCCTAACCCAATGATTGACTGGAGAAGAAGAAAATCAGCAAGACACTTGATAGGTTTGGGGGTCCTAGGATAGAAAGGGCCTGGCATGTCCCTCCCTCAGTCAACCTAGTGTGCTAGAAAACTCCCAGAATGTTCCTGAGCCTAAGACACCAGAACAGAATAGCACAGATAGCTAAACCTGAACTGTTAAGGGCCCTGACCAGTTCTAAAAATTTTCCTGTGCCACTATGTTGCTGGAGCCCAAAAATGTTTCCAGGAGCCCCATGGAAATCAAGTGAGAGACAGCTGAGACTGGCGGAAGAAAAACTTATCTGTACCTAGAATGGCACAGAAGAATGTTCAGCTCAGTAAATGACACCAAGAAGATGACTATAACCCAGTCCAGTAAGTTTTCTTCACTACCTGCCTCTACTTCATAAATCTGAAAGTTAGATATAGTATACTGTGCAAAGCATGCTTTGGCAGAAACACTGGCTGCTATAGTTTAAACAAATGTCCCCCAAAGGCCCATGTTTTGAAGGCTTGTTCCCCAGTGTAGTGCTGTTGGGAGATGGTAGAAAACTTAAGATGTGGGATCTAATGAAAGGTTATAGGTCACTGGCGACATACCCTTTAAGAGGGCTGGGGGACCCTCATCTATTCCCCTTCTGTTCTTTTACTTCCTGGCTACCAGGAGGTGAGCATCTTTGCTTCATCCACACTTACCACCATGATGTAATGCCTCAACATTGGCCCAAAAGCAATGGGGCCAATACAACCATGAACTGAAACCTCCAAAACTGTGAGCCAAAATTAACCTTTCTCTTCATAAGTTGATTATCTCAGGTTCTTTTTGCAGGAACAGAAAGCTAGCTAGCCCACAGGCAGTAAGTAAGAATAGGGCCCAATTAAGAGCTAGTAATTCTATACTTGATGCTGGCAAAAACTCTCCTAGCCTATGAGTCTGGTACCAGAGTCAACTCCAGGGTGCCTGGGGCCTTTGGGTTCTTCAAGTAGTGTAGAGAATAAATACTATAGAGTTTATACTGTTTTACTTAAAATGACCTACTAAATCAGGCTTTCCTGCCTCTTTCTGGGTTTTCCATACATATCCATACAAGTGAGCCAACTTGTTTGCCTTTAGCTTTATTTTTGGCATATTAGACACTGAACCTTACTCATCCATACCTGGAATGCCAGGAGGTCCTGGAGGCCCAGGGGGACCTTGATACCCACGGAAGCCATAGTCTCCATGACAACACTTGCTGCAGTCTGGGGCCATTCCTCCAGTTTGTGGGGACTTAAGAAAGAAAAGAGAAGCTTCAGATAAAGGCACTTGTGAGCAGTTAGGAATTTTTAAATTTCCTCTGGCCTTGACTCTTAGGTAAGCTTAACTTCAATCAACCCACAACCATATAAGAAAAAATACTGTGGAGAATGAGATGGGAATATTTACGGCATAGGACTCCAGGAGTACGTACAGTGAGTGGATGGTCAAAGGAAAAGGCAACAGGAATTCAACAGAATAACATGCATTTTAGATCACATGTTGGGGGTGCTGTAGGAAAGATGGGGTAGCATGTTTTGGGACAGTGTTTTCCTATGTCTACCTATGACAGCAAAGGCAGAAACCCCTTCTGAAGCAGACTTGGAAGCCTTTTGTCTTTCCCAATACCCAATAGCCACAGTTTTAGCTAAACCAAGATGACCCTCAAATTACAAAACTATCAACTTCAACCATAGTTACTAAACACTGTATTCCTGATACTGCCTTCAGAGCTAGCTTAAAAGTTCTTAGAAACTGAATTGTGATACTATTTTTTCAGACAGCCAGAACACACTGACTTGCCTAGGAAATTAAGGAAATAAAGTATTCTTTAGTGGAATACACTTATTTATTCTCTTATATTGACAACTAGAAGTTACATATAGTTATATACAACATGTTCTGAGATGTCTCAATTGAGTTAATTAACATATGCATTGCCTCACAAAATTTTTCCTTCAGTGGGTACACTTAAAAATCTACTCTCTTGGACTGGAAGAGTGGATCAAGCAGTAAGAGCACCTGTCTAGCAAGCATGAGGTCCTGAATTCAAACCCCAATGCTGCCAAAAAAAAAAAAAGATTGCTTTAAAATCTACTCTCTTAGGGCTGAAAGTGTGGCTGAAGTGATAGTGCACCTGCCTAGCAAGTACCCATCAAATAAAAGAAAGAAAAGAAGAAGAAAAAATCTACTCTATTGGCAATTTTCAAGAATACAATGTACTGTTATTAACTATATGTCCAATACATTTTTATTAATTATCTGTACATTTAAACTTTTTCTTTATGAGTATTTAACATGAGATGACATTTCACATGTTCCACTTCAAAGTTTAAAATGATAATCCCACTGTTTGAACTAATATTTAATAATCACTAAATGAGTACTAAATATGCTTGAATGAGACATTGTGTAAAGAACTTATTTCTACAAAGACAGATTTTCAAAATGTGTGCTTACTGCAAAGGAGCCTGCGAGCTAGAGGAAGTTGCTTGGGAGAAGAGTTAGAGTTGCTTGTAAAATTTGGACTCTCATCTAAACTGGCAACATTTCTTTTAATTATGTCATACAAAATACTTGTGGAAACTTTCCTAGACACCAGTTATAATTCAATAGGCTTTTGAAAACAGCATATTGTTGCTAAGAGATTCATTTTTTAAAGGAAGATAAGGAGGGAAAGAGAAAGGAAGAATGAAAAAGAAATGGGAGAGAAGGAGGGAAAGAAAAAAGGGGGAAGAAAGAATTTAAAATTCACATTTTCTCCATCATTAGAAATCCAAACAGAAAACTGGGCAAAGCCTTTACATTGCTGGACATTAACACCTTACTTTTATTCATTTATTTTTAAATAAAAGTGAATTTGGTAATTGTCATCCCTTTTTCCTAAAGTTTTTCATGAGAAAAACACAGAGAAGCATCTGTGGTCTGAGCATACTTCTCCCACAGTTCAGAACTCTAGTGTTGAAGGATCTGAGCTACAATTTGAACTAACTCCTACTCTTGTCTTCAGTCTACGAAGCCCAACACTGGACAGGTCTAGAGTATATAAAATCTTTTGTCACATTGGTAGAGGAAAAAAAACCAAACAAAGCACTTGGTCAGAGATGAGAGATGTCAGGACAGTTGGAAAGTAAAGACACCAAGGCAACCACCCCATCTTTTAAACCAAGATACAATCTGAGAGGCACACACTTATTTCTTAGTAGAGTTTTGCTGATGTGAAATACATGTTTTTTTAAAGTTTTGTTGTTGTTGTTGTGCTGGGTGGGGGTACATTGTGGCTTTTACAAAAGTTCTTATAATATATCAATATATCATAATTGAATTCACCCCCACCATCATTCTCCTCTATCCCATTTCGACAGGTCTCATTTTTAACATTAACATACATGTATACACAGTATTTGCACCATATTCACCCTCCTGCGCTCTTTCCCCACATCCTCCCCCCTTCCAATGGTACCAACCCCCCAGACTGGACCTGTTCTGCCCTCTTGTTCTCCGATTTTGTAAAAAAAAAAATGACATTTTGTTTGTTTAAGATAGCTATACAGGGAGTTTCCTTGTGACAGTGAAATACAGCTTTTAAACTCCAGGAAATCCAGGGATTTGCCAATAATGGGCATCAGGGAGAGAAACAGGAGGAATAGGAGGGAAAATCCTGGAGTGGAATCATTTGTGTATGAAAAGATGGAAACACTGAGATGCTTAAAAATGTCAGAACCACTGGGCTGGAACCAAAGTTCCCATCTCAGTTCTTCATGACCTTAGAGAAGTCACTATTCCCAGACATTATTTTTTCTTGTCTACTAAACTAGAGGATTAGATGAAATGGTTATGAATTTTCTTTCCAGCTCTAAAATGCTAACAAAGATACTAAACTTTTTCCTAAACCTCAAATAATTATTTAGAAAGACTTAAGAATGTCTAGAGCCTGGGCACTGAGACATGGACTTGCTCAGTGCCAGAGCTAAGGAAGTTTAGTGTTGCATGTGCACTTGGGGTCACTTTAGGAGCATACAGCTTCCAGCATGCAAAAAGAAATTTCTGGTTACTCCCAGTTGAACACCTCCCGAGGACCCCTCTACAACATTTCATCACCTGTTCCTCCCTCTGACCATGTCTTTCAAGGTTCAGTCTAATGGAGCAATGCTGGTGTGTGTTGATTCAGAAGCTTTCTCTTTGGTAAGAGAGAATTTATGTATAGGCATTGCTGTCTATGACCTTCTTATGTTTATTGTTTCCTTTCCAAAGTCAGGTAGAATTTGTATACTGAAAGCATGCAAATGAGGATCTTAGGAGAAAAGGGATGTCTCTATGGGGTGTCCATTTTGCAGATGGGGGTCTGAAGGCAGCTATTCAGAACTGAGTTCTATTAATGTCTTTTGGGAAAGAGAGCATTTTGGGAAGATGAGGATAGAAAGAGGAAAAATGGGTATTCAAGAAGAGGCTGAGAAGCTGATATATAAGAATGACAAAGATGCAGTGGAAAAGTGAATACAGATGTGCCCAGCCTAGATCTCTGTCCACTCTAATCCACCCTGAACTCTACATCCATTTGTCTTTCTAGAACACAAATCTGATTACCTCACTGCCTTGCTATGTAAAGACAAACCAAACTTTTGGTAGGGAAGTAAAGTTTAAACTCCACCAACTAAAAGAATCCTCTCTTGTCTGACATTCAAATTTGATGTCTCCCCCCAACAGCCAGCCACACCCAGCCTCTCATAGGCTCTCTCAAATCTCTTCGATGTGGCACATTTATTTTTTTAAATCTCTGCTGTGGATAAACATCCTTTTTGTCTAATCTTTTAAGAGCCAACTCTGAGACCAACATTATTACAGTTTTCCCAACTACCTCTTATGTATGGTGCTGGATTATCCTATACTATTTTATTAATTTTAATTTAACTAATTAAATTAACAACAAAAAGTTATCCCCACGAGCCCTTGAGGATATCCTGGAGATAGGAGCTTGGGTATGTTTATCCTCTCATTACCCATCCTAAGGCTTGATGCAAAGTAGAAACCTAAGAAATGCTGAGGCAGGGGGGAATGAATGAGGCAAAGAGAGAATTAAGATAAAAGATGAGCATGGGAGAAAGTAGGTAAAGAAGAAAGAATTCAATTTGTGTGTCCATATCCATTGCTGGCGGTACATGCTGAAAGCTTTCAGTGTATCAGTGGCGCTAACTCTCCTGAGTATTTCCTGTTGGAAGTTTGTTTGGAAATACATCAGGAATCTAGGACTAAAAGATGAGGTGAAATAGAAACATAATTTGGATTTCAGTGGTCTGCTTGGTATTGCTTGCCAGGAAATAATGACTGATGACAAACTATAGGCTCTCTGCTGCTTCTGGGGGTGCACACAGTCACATCCAAACAAGACACCAGCCATTGAAATGGAAATTACAGATCAAAGCCTGAACAGAAGTTAAAATGTTTTAATCAATAAGAAAAACACAAATTAGTATCAATCACCTTTCAGCCAGAAGGCTGAACAATCTCTAAAAGTGGCATTCTGTTTAGCTGCTACATTTCTTTTGTGGCTCCTTAAAAGAAGCTGTTTCCCTTGACATAGCCCCACAGAACAATTTGGGAGTCTGTATTGTGTAGTCCAGTTACAAGTCCCAGGTTCATCCCAGACCTGCAGCTCGTGTCTGATTCTGGTCTGACCACATAACCAGATAACAGACCCAAACATCTCACTCGGGGGTAGGAGTGATTTAGATTTCAACTGCATGAAAAAAAAATTGGGCTTCTTTAATGCATAAAAGCCAAGAGTTCTTATAGGAAAAGCTATATATCAAAGTAACTCTTCTTGCTCCCTCCCATTGATTTCAGCATACTACATGCTTGGGAGGTAAGTCAAACTCTGCTTCTTCCTATTCTTAGTGTTGAACTTCACTAATTTGCAATCCACTACACTAGAACCTTAACTCACCCTGTACTACCCTAAAAGAGTTAAAGAGATTTCCTTAGATGCTGAGCTTATGCCCTGAGAAATAAATCAAATCAACGCATCAAATTATACAATACAGTTCGTAGTTTAAATATGCGATCTTTTTTGTTTGTTTTAACTCTTTGATTCTTTTTTTTTTAAGGCTGAACATAGAGGCTCAGTCATCCAGAATACTGTAAGTCAAACAAAACTGTCATGAAAAGTACAGAAAACTCACAATAAAAGTAAAACAACTTTGTTTTTGGCAAACCAAGTAGGCAGCTCCTCCTGCTGGGAAGGATTCAGAGTCCAATTCTCTCAAGATGAGCAAATGATTATCTACACAAATGCATCTGTCTTGCATAGGTCGGCATTACAGTAGTGAGCAAGAAAGAAATCAGGTACCGGCAGGGCTGGGTCCCCCTTTCCTGTAGGGAGATCCCAAGGCCACTCTGTGACAGTACATCATGGCCAACGGGCAGTCCCTCTTGTATCACAGAGCAAGCCACAAAGAAACCCACATATAGCTAAGCAAACAGCTAGCAAGCATCAATCCTAAAAATCTTAGCCAGAACAATAGCAACAACAGTCAGTAAGCTTTCAAAGTAATCCTTAGAAGAGAATTCGGAGTACCTGGCCCCAGAACGGGGTGACCTGGGCTAGGTCATCTACCTCAGGGTGTGGTAGCTCATCTGGTCTCAGGGGCTTTAGGTCTGTAGAAGTGTTATTATCCACAGTCCCAGTTTTAGGATGGCTCCGCTCTCTCACTTTCTCCCTCCTGGAGCCGCTACGGCCAGTCTGCTGGTGGCTCTGCACTATTCTCGTCACCACCTTATTAGCTCTTCCGCTCACCTCCATATATTCATCTTGACACAGGCAAAATGGGAGGAAAAGCAAAGCCAGCACGTGCCAACGGATGAGCTGCGTCCCGAGCATGATTCTCAACAGAGCCACAGAGCTTCCTTGGGAAGATGACGGGTGCTGAAGGCGCAGTGATCTCCTCCCTCAAATGCCAGGGCTGGAGATGAGAACCGCAGGCAGCTGGATGGTTTTATACTTTGGTGTGTAATAAATAAGGCTGCAGGCATGCCAGTGTGACAGCAGCCCTCCTCCCCAGGCAGAACAGCCCCCATTCATCACTTTCCCACACCACAGGCAAGATGGATTTGTGCGTACAGTTCCCAGTTGGTGGAGTTCATAAATGTCACACCTTGGCACGTTTTTGTTAAAGTGTTAAGGAAACATACACCACCAGCTGGAAACAGACGGCATGTGTCCAGTGGTTTACTTTCATGATTAGACTTGGAAAGGCTGTGCACTTGTGGTCAAAAATCCCTTTTGGAACAACCTACCCCTGTGCTTGCCAGGAAATTCAGGCTTAACTGCATCAGTTCCTCCTGAAATGGCAGCAGGAACCCATTCAAGTCCATCAAGAGTGCTTTTGCTGCCTAGATGTACAGATAGTACTTCCCACTTTGGTCCACTTAAGGAACTTAAACTCCCTTCTGGATAGCAGCATCACCAGGCAGTTGGTTGACTGAAACACTGAGCTGAATATAGGCACAGAGTCTCTGGGTTTAGCAGAAATGTTTCCCCATCCTAGGCTTTATTTTCTTTTCCTTTGAGTTTCCGAAGACCAAGATTAAATCAAAGTTCATCAAGTCTATCTTGCCTGGTGGATATACAACCTACTGCCTTGTTTTAAGAGAAATTTGTCTCTGGCTGCTTTTCCTCCTGGCATGTTCTTCACCAAAATTGAAGAAACATGGATAATGCCAAACCAAACACACTATTCCATGTATATCAGAATTAAAAGAATTATCATTTTATTTTAGTTGCTATAATTTTATGAATTCAGTGAGAGAACAAATTGGATATTCCTAATCTCTTCATAATAATAAATTGAGAGAATGTATATAGCCTCATCATTAGAACTGGTTCTATTTACATGTCACTTCATTTTACAATTACTCATTCACTTGCTAACAAAACATTGTTGGCCCTCTCCGATGAGGACTGCAGAAACCCTGGCACCTTGAAGAGGATGAGTGGCAGGTGTCTGATGGTAGGTGGTCCAGGGAGACACTGGAAGAGGACCAGGGCTTGGATAAGCCAGGGCCACAGATAGAACAGCTGGATAAAATGACAAGAGGAAGCAAGCTGTTCACAGCTGCCCTCCCCACTCAGCTAAGAGTCCGGGAACCAAATGCTGCTCCCAAAAGCTAGCGTGGCCACTCCTGCCACTCACTGCCCAACTAGCTGCCTCTGGAGCCACATTCATACATGGAAGGGTTTAGTGATTGAGTAAGAAAGTTATTCTGTGAAACCAAACTCCCCAGGTCACAATAGGGGTCTTGAGAGTCATGTGTACTCAAAGCAGGTGGTTCCCACTGGTGGGCCAAGTGTCCCATCTCATGAGTCTATGAGGGGATATGTAAATGTCTTCTCTGGAGAATTCTTTGAGTTCCGTGGAAGCACCGTTCAAATTCAGGGAGCATATCAGGTTAGGGTGCACCATGAGCTCTTCCCAACAATCCCTTTCTCAGACCTGGAGTTGTCAGTGAGTGAGCACAGCACCCAGGCTGTACACACACAAGTGAAGGAGGTTGGCTGTGAGATGGAAGGAAGGCCAGGGCAGTGTCTCAATGTGAGATTCCCTTCTTGAAGAGGTCTGGAAAAAAAATATCACAGAGTAAGAAATGGCTCTGAAAACTAGGTCACCTAATTCACAAGTTTTCTAAAAGCCGCCTCTGACTTTCACCACCAGGCATCCTCCACAGCATGGACCATGTGGCTACATAACTACAAATCAGATCCCAACCACATGGAGACTCCCCATTAACGTTTCAATATTGTTGTCCATTCTGGTGGTTCCCAACCCTAGCTGCATATTAAAACAAACCAGGGAGCTTCTAAAAATTTAAGTGCCTGGGTTCCATCCCAAACCAATTCAGTCAGAATCTCTGGGGAGGGCTGGGCACTAGGAGTTTTTAAGAAGTTTCCCAAGATGATTCTGACATGCATCCAGGGTTAGGAGTCATTGACCTATCCTCTCTTTGACCCAAAAGGAATAAAAAATATCATAATTTTTTGACACCATATGCCAGCTGAGTACTTCTTTGGCTTAGCTCACTGACTTATCTCAGCAAACCAAATCACCATCTTATAGGGAAGAAACAGAAGCTCAGAGAGGTCAAGTGACTTGTTTGGTGTCACACAGCTGGAACGGGGTCTTCAGGATTGTCTCTAGCTGTCTTATAAAGATATGATCTACCTTCCTACAGAGAAGCCAAGGAAAGTGAACATCAGGCTAACAGCAGACAGAAGATCAGCTCAATAGCTGCCAGAAAGGCTGTCCACAGGTATCATAGGTTGAATGTCACTGGTTGAACTGTGTCCTCCAAAAATGATATTGAAGTCCTAACCCTTAGTACCTGTATCACCTTATTTGGAAATCGGCTCTTCATAAACTATCAGATAAGTGCAGTAGGGTGAACCTTAATTCAATATGACTGTGTTCTCATAAAAATGAGATAGTTAGACTCAGAAAGACATGCATACAGGGCGAGCGCTAACTCTGCTGATGCCTTGAGCTTGGACTCCTAGTCTCCAGAACTGTGAGATAATAAATTCCTTTCTTTAAGCCACTGTTGCTATGGCAGTCTTAACAAACACATGTGGACATGCATGTGTAAAAAAAAAAAAAACCCTCCAAATAGGAGCAATAACATTGTTCTGTAGCACAATGGGTAATTATATTTGACAATATTTAATTGTGTATTCCAAAATAGCTAGTAGAGAGGATCGTTATGTTCCCAACACAAAGAAATCATAACTAATTGAGATGATAGATTATCCTGTAAACTGTGTCCCATAAACGTGCACAATTTTTATGTCAATTAAAACTTTTTAAAAATGTAAACTCTACCATCTTTCCCCTTAGGAGATGGCAGTCCAGAAGATTTAGCCAATTGATCAAGTTCATGGATGGCAGGTGGCAAACCTGGGTCAGAAAAGGGTCCCCAGTCTCTCAATGCAGATCCCTTTACTTTACTCCCAAACTTTCCTGTTAAAATACATTTTAAACCTTGGCTTATTATTAAATTGTACTTGGAGTTATCATTTTGTACGTGCTCTAAGATGGCTCTTGTATCTGGTTTTCAAAAATGTAAATAAATGTTGGATGTAATTCTTGCCTATGGGCTAAATATTGACAACATCTAGAATCTTCAGACTTTCAGAAGAGGGTGGAGTTCCTGTTCTGCATGGTTGTCTCTGGCTGGGAAACTCACAGTGGCTGCCTGGGGAACTCAGGCTCCGCTGGTACACTGGGACTCCCAGTATTGCTTGCCTCTGCCCCACAGGTCCAGTCAAGACGTTGGCACAGCCAATACTGCAAGCAGCAAAGGTACAGATGCATATGAATATGTGTGTAAAAACTCAGTCCAGCTTTACAATCTGGAGGCAAATATTTGTTTAGCTCTACAAAGGAGGCTGTTATGAGATATATAGGTGCCCTGTGGCCTCCCCCACAGTATTCCAGCATAGCTTGGGCCAAAAGACATCAGTTATGGTCTGGCAAGAGACAGTCAAGAACTGTGTTGGATTGAACGTCTCTTTATATCAGCGCCAACTTAAAGAGTAGCTAAAGAAGGCAACTGTTTGCCTGAGTTCCAGGAGCAGTTAGAGTGTGATCCATCTCTCCTCTGCCCCTTCTGAATGGAAAATATTCCCTGTACTCCACTCAGTGAGTTCAGAGATTCTAAAATCAAATCTTGATCACTTTTATTTAAAAAAAAATATCTATTAAAATATAAATAAAATTGAACTATTACTCCACACAAGGAGTTTAGTTGTATTGGTTATTATACCTAACTGTTGAAGTGGTTTTGTGAGAGGAATCTGGTGAGAGACTTTTAGAAAGGACACCCCCCACACACACACGCACTCCTAAAAAGAAATGTAGCTTTGTCTCTTTTTTAGTAGAATACTGTTATGTTCACCTATAAAGTGGAACAGTATAGCCAAGCTGAGAATGTCAGAACAAAAAGATAGAAAACCCAGACACTTTTTGACCTCTATGAGCCACTGAACTATTCAATCTTCAAACATTCAGTTGTCCTCCATGTGAGATAACATCTTTCCTATTTTTCATGCCTTTGCAATGAATCAACACTGTCTTTATTGCATTATTACTTAATGTTCTTTACATATCTGCCTTATCTTTTCAATTAGATTAAAGATCATTAAGGAAAAAACAAGGTCATGATTATCATTGTACAGAAACTTGTTCTGGAACTGGTAACATAGAAACCTTCCATAAATGCTTCTCACTAGTAGAATAAGCAAATAAAAAACAAAGCCAAATTAATAGAATGAACAGGTTAGTTAAAGACTAGCTGAGCTCAGATAAACCAGTTATAAAGGAGCTGAGAGAATTATAGAGCTGGAAATCCACCCCCTCTTTAAATAATACTTCCTGAAGAGGCAGTAAATCTCCTCCACTCTCCACTCACTGTTCATAGAAGCCTCCCATGGTTTCTCACAACAGAAACAATGCTCTATGTTTCTATTTCATTATTCTTTTCCTACAAAATTCCCATACTCTTTTGCAATTAAACTCAGGCCCAGTGACCAGATTCTGGCTAGTAAGTGTGAGTGAGACAGTCTTCATTGGAGCTTGGTGTTTAAAAACACCCAGAGGTACTTCTGATTTTCCTCTCCTCCAACACTGACTTTGGATCTCATGTGTTCAGAGGGTGAAGCTCTGATGACAAAGCCTCTGTCAGCCTAAATGATTTGGGTGGGATAGAACCCTTTGCTGACCCTTATAAGACACTCAGTCTAAGCAAATAATGAAGTTCAATGTGTTAAAACACAGTCTTTTTGGGATTAATTTGTTTTTATAGTAGTCTGTACACTGTCTCACCTAATACACACCCTTAACCAGCTGTTTTTTCCCTTAAGTGTTCTTCAAATACTGAACTCTCTTCTTCATAGGACTTCCAAACTGAATTATATTTATCTATCGTATTCTATCAACATTGTTCTCCTCACTGGACTGTATGTATCACAGTGAC